ATCTCTATCCGATGGATAGTGCAGTACGTGTCAATAACAATTATCCGCTGGATAGCTATTTATACTTTGGATAGCGTACTATCTCTTACTAGGCCCAGATGTTTTTCGTTAACGTGGCTTAGACATGCACAGCAAGAGTTTGGGAGGGAAGCGACGCTTGCCAAATGTCAAATGTGCAGGCCATCTTGAAAGTGAATTCCGTTAAAATTTGAGAGAAGAATGGGGCAAAAATAAGGCAAATAATTACTGAAATATTTACAAGAAATTCTTAATTCTTCAACTCCCTTTCTTCCAACATAAATAGAGTCGTTTATAATAGATTTTGAGGCAGCTTATAGTAAACGGTTCAGGACAAGCAACTTTTTGAGTCAGAGAGAACTGAATTTACTGCATTATAGCCAAGTATTCATGTACCACGATCTTTTATGGGCAAAGCCGGAATCGAGGTTTAGAAAAAATCACAGTACAAGTCTGGCATGTTGGTCGAGCAACAATTTCATAAAGGTATTCAGCAATTTATCTATACACTTATGTTTAAGTATGTAAATAAATGCGCTAATGTTATGTAAGTTTCTGTAGTGTAGTGGTTATCACGTCCGCCTAACACGCGGAAGGTCGCAGGTTCGAGCCCTGCCAGAAACATTTTTTTCAGTTTCTTTTTCTAATAATTTACCTTAATCTTCCTTTTTTTGAATTAATGAATTCGCAAAAAAATTTACAGAAACGTGAAAATTTGGAATTCAGGATAAACCCGGTTATTTATTCCACGCCAGGGCAGGAAAAGTCTGGATGCGACGTAAGAAGGCGTGGTTACATGTGCACGTTCGACCCTCGATACTTGAATGGCTTTAAAATAGCAAAGGGAACTGTCCCTTGCCCTTACATTGATAAAGCAAGTACGCCATATACGTATGGCTTTCATAAAACTCTATTAAGTATCATTAATTTTTTTTTTGCCGTTTTTTTTTCTTATCACCATTTTCATCTCACAGAACTTCCAAGGCGGCTCGATGCTATCGAAGACATCCATTGCCATAGTGACAAGTTTGCAATGTGTTATCATCCCGTCATAATCCACAACAGTAAGGTCCTCTTCTCGGCAGATATGACTATGCCACGATCTCGTGATATTCTTTTTTACCACGATTGCCGGTAATGTCGCAATCTGATAGTTGTCGATAAGAGTTCAGACAATTCTGCTCGAGTCAACGTAACAGGCAATGGTCACGCACGCACTGAAAGAATCGTTTTATTTGACGTCGACATCGTGGTTAAGAAAACCACAGTGATTTAGCGTGGTCTGTATTCTTATTGACATCGGACTCTGTGCCTCCATTGTAGCTAAAAAAAAGCCTCAGTGATTTAGCGTGATCTTTACTCTTATCGACGACGGAGTCTGTGCCTCCACTGTGGTTAAAAAAACCCACAGTGATTTGGCGTGGTCTGCACTCTTATCGACAACGGACTCCGTGCCTCGTGAGTATACAACATTTGGACCCCTGTGACGACGAATATATTTTTCGATAAGCGTACAGACCGCGCTTAACCACCGTCACCGAACTCGTTTTGGGTTAATTGGGCATGTGGCTTAAAAATTAAGAGTGTTTCTCGGAGCTTAGTTTTGCTGGGTGCCGTTATGTTCCCAGTATTGCTGGGTACTGTTATGTTCCATTGATATAATCACATCATGTTTTAAAAAAAAATTAGACGTTTTTCCTGATAGCAAGGAAGTAATTAGGAAAGTGTGTTTACATTTATTCATAAAAGAATTGGTGTTTAAGATAAAGAAAATCATTTTGAGTCGTATTACTAACTACTACTAACTAACTACTACATTAGTTTTTCCCATTTTGTTCATTCTGTTCCCAAACCGCATTCGGAACGAAATTTGTGAACTAATTGTCATGAGGTACAATTTTTGCTTGATCAAAATCAGAAGTGATATTGTACGAAGCGGTTCTGACAAAGGAAGAAAAGAAACAACAATATTTTGATCCAAACCCGAATCGCTTCGAAGGAAGAATTAGTATGCGCGGCCGTGCGCACGCATGAAATTTCTTTGATGAAACCACATGAAACAACGATGTAAAAACGTAAATAACATCGGAAAGGAGATTAACAAATGTTTTTGAGATTACGCTCTACTTAAGACCAGTTAAAGCCGGAAATACTCTTCAATTTAATGGTTTAATGGATAATTCGCCGACAGGATAATGGGACTGCGGTAACTTGGTCGTAAAAGTAACATTGCGTGTATCCAGGAACTTAAACATTCTCATTACTAAACACGAAACCTGTGTTTCTGTTTTACATTTTTGTGGAAGATCTTCTAATCAGACATTATGCAATGGTTCTGTGGCTGGACTCCTTCTCTGTTCCTCGTCTGGCTCGGTAAGTTTAAACTGAACTACGTCATCAAGTAATATTTGATGTGGTGTTTACGACGCAAAAAATGATCATCGGAAAGAAGAAGAGGTAGTTTCAGTAGCTCAGAAAGAATAGTACTTCGAAGGTAAAAATCGACCATCAAGGAATACGGATGCGGAATTACTGAAACGGTTTTCAAACAATAAACTTGAGAAATTTAGAGTAATCAAGACTAATCATGATCAATTCAAATTTCCGAAAGAAATGAAAACCGCAATGGAGAGGTTGAGTTTGACGTCAAACGGTAAAAACTGTAATTCTAAGACGTCTGCTTTCAGTCATTTGGCATCAAAATAAGAATATTTCAATTTACAATAGTCAAGTTTTTTATTTAAAATTTTATACAGCGTTAACTCAGGAAATGGCAGAAAAGTGAGCACAATTAGATTTCGTTTTTCCTGTTGATCGTTCAAGCCCTTAAATAACGTCTTGTTTGAAGTTTTCTGATATTTTGCTATACCGTGAGATCACAACTAACTGTAGCCGTTTGCTTGCACAGTAGAACTTCAGAAATATTGAGTAGACCTTTTAGGGAAAGTTCTAATCTAACTGTAGACTTCTGTAACCTTACTTTTCCTGTACGCTGTTAGATTGGATCGACGACAAATCTACAATATAACTCAGGACAAGCGTGCCACGCGATTAGCGGTGAATGAACCATTTCCTAATATTTTTTACCTGTCTCTAGGATGTTTCTCTCCTCGAACATCTCTCTGATTCGATTAAAGAGAGCTTAACCACTTGCTTTCCAAAACATTTCCTTTCACATAGACTTTATTTGTATTCAAATTTGTGTGGACTATGCCTAATTCTAAGAATCTACTGTTTATCATCCAAATTAATTGATCTTAGTCATTAATCATCAACTATTATTATCTCGCCGTTGTCATCGAGGCAAAAGTTTGTGTCGTGCATCGTTTCACGTGCGTTTTTAACCTCACTTAATTATACACAACTACCAGTCCAATAAAATATCGTGCCGTCTAAACCACTTAGTGTTTGCTTAGAAAGAATATCCAAATATTGTGAACGTTCATCATGTAAGTTGAAACTTTGGAAAATATTTCAAGCATTTACGCGTTATCTAATGCATCATTGATTTAATTCCAATATCATAATACATACAATCAATTTTTTCACTCCCCCACTGAGAAAAATTCGTTTCCAGAAAAACCAAACAGATAGAGGTTATGAAGTCTAACTTAAATTGTTATTACATGATGAATTTGAGAATTTAAACTTTTCCAAAAAGTCACTAAAAAAGCTTTGCTAAGAGGACAGATTTTGCTCGTCTTTGTATAGATACTGAAAAAACTAGTGGTGTTGGCCAGGTATTCATCTGTCTCTGGTTTGAAATTAACCATTTATTCTTCCAATTAATCTGAAAAAGGAAGGAAAAAGATGATTAGCTCCTACAGGCCTGGGGTCTTACAGTCCCAGTAACGAGAGTACATGAACGACAGGTTTATCGAGTGCACGCAGACGATTGATGTAACAGATATACCCAATGTAGGAGGCTTCGTTGCAGTCGAATATTTCAGGGAATTTTCAAAAGTGGGTTTCTCTGGTCGTCTTTTCTAGCTGTGAAATGTTTGTGGGCTTCTCGGGTTCTATAGATCTGTGAATTCCTCCTCGTGTCCCTGGAAAGACAAGCCAACGGGTTATGATCAGGATGTTTGAAAGATATTTGAAATTCTCTTTTTGTATGCAGGTTTGATGGCTGATATAAGGTCACAAAGACACAAGGCAGGTGAGTGAGTAGCAGCGTTGTAGCAACCATTATTCGGTCTGGCTGCAGCTTCTGTCATTGCAAAGTGTAGGGAACAGAGCTTCCAGATTTGCGATTTGGCGTTGTTATTGTTTATACAGGCCCCCATTTAAACCAGCTTTAAAGCTGAAATCGCAAATTAATGAATTATCAATTCTTCTGGCTAATTCTTACGCCTCAGGCTTAAGGTTACCAAAAAGCAATGTCGGGGGGGGGGGGCAACGGAGGAGTCTCCTTTTTCGTTAGCAATTTCTAGACGGGGTTGATGGAACTCGATTACTGTTTTGAACTGTTGTAGACTATGATAAGCGCAGCCGAGATTTCAATAACTTTTTCCCTCTCTTTTCTTGTTTCCATCTTCTTCAGCAATTTCAAAATCACGTCGATGGTACTCGATTTATGTTTGCATTGTGTGTGTCATCTGTTTTACAGTTCTCTCCAATTACTGCTTTCCACACAATTGCGGAAAATTGGCAATGTTCCATTCCAAAAAAGAATGTTATATTGTGGCCTATTTCAGCGCAGGCGGCCCAAGCTCCAGTTGCGAGATTATCATCTTGCGAAATGAGTCATGGCGAATTTATAAGAGTTTGAATGGAATATTTACGACTGCTCTTAGGAATAAAAAAATACAATCAATTTCTCAATAAAAATACCTCACCTTACTTCCACAGTGCATCGCTTGTTATCTGACCTCTTAGTCCGCTTACTATGTTGAAAAGAACCCATTTTAGCAAGTTACCATTTCTAGGTTTTGTAGTAAACTTTTACATTACTCTCTAGTTAATACAATTTTCTCTTTTTAGCTAAATGTCCAAATGATGGAAACCTCACCACATATCAAGGAATATTGAAGAGTCCAGGATTTCCAAAATCTTCGTACCAAGCAGACACAGTTTGCATTTGGGTGATAACTGCGCCAAGAGGCGGCAAAGTCAAATTTGCAATATCAACAATGGAGTTGGAGGACTGTTCTTTGTGCCGTTGTGATTACGTTGAAGTCAGGGACGGTGCCACGGCTAATAGTCAACTTATCGGCAGGTTTTGTGACGAAGAGAGAGTAAATCTTTATTCAGAAGGAAGACACATGTGGGTGAAATTTAGATCAGATGTGGCGATGGAATATCGAGGATTCTCTGCCAGCTTTTCTTACTTGAAATTACGAAAAAGTGAGTTTGTGATCACCGGTTCACACAGTCCACAATCCAACAATGTTGTGTAAGCCTAAGATGTAGGCATTTTTAATGCAGCATGTTTAAATGTATAGCAATTATCTGGAAGATGTAATCATCAGAAAAATGCGTGGACATCATTTACTATTCGTAACCGATAAAGCGGCAAATTTGAATGCGACCTCGCTTTCATGAGCCCTAAATTAGAGATGAATTGGCCAAAATTGGCCCACAAGGCTTCGTAGAACCCACTTCGTGGAACCAACTGAGTTTTAGAAAAGCTTACTTGATGATCAAAGACAGTCATTTTCGGAGTGTAGTAATTTAATGCTTTTTTCCGTCTTGTCACAAGAGTGAGACAGTGCAAGAAAAAAAAGTGTCAGTGAGTCCTCATGAGGAATCGAACTTCCGATCTCCGGATTCCGCACTCCTTTCTTATTAAAGTTACGTATATGACACTTTCAAAACCGCACACCGTAGCAGCGCAAAAAACTTGGCTTACCACAAAGCTTCTGTGGCTCAGTTATAAAGCATCAGAGCGCGGAATCCGATGAAGACTAAGAATTTTTTCTTTGCCTCACGCTCGAGACGAGACGAAAAACATTCTTTTCTGGTTATAAGCAAAACTGTAACAAAATCACCATCATTCGGGCCCTCGCAACTTGAAAACGTCTTTTCTTTTCCGGTAAAAACATCGGTGACACGTACGCGAACGGCTAATGTATACTGTTCGATTCATCTAACTTTTTGGTATATCTAACTGTAAAGAAACACAGAAAAATCCACTTGTTATCTGCGGGAGCATATTCTTATGAGTGAGACACAAGCAAATTATACTTGTTTTCACGTTTGTATATGATCTCTTTAACTCATATCTCCTCTTCTAATTTTGGTTTCTGCAGAGGAACCTTTCATTATGCAGGCAAATGGATCATCCCAACTCATAGCTAGTTCAAAAAGTCCAGCTGTTTGTGGCTCTGATAAAAAATGCATATGGATAATTTCCGCTCGTGAAAGATGTAAAGTTCAAATCTCAATAAAATCATTTGCCTTCCTGAATTGTTTGGGACCATTTGTGGAGATCAGAGACGGCCCTAGCTCTTCTAGTCCATCAATTGGAAGGTTTTGTGGAGATGAGAAGCCTCCGCCAGAAATCTACTCCATAGGAAATAATCTATGGATAACTTTTGAATACAACTCTACGAGAGACTTACAAATGAATGGTTTCCAGCTCTTGTACAAAGAAGTACAATGCACCAATAAACCACAGATAGGATTCTTCACTGAGCCTTTGAATTCTGGTAAGGATTAATCCACTTTGCAATCATCAGCACTAAAATATAAGAAAACTATATAACGCGGTGCTTGACCTGAGACCAAGCACACCTACCTAGAGACAGTCTGTATTTATCACCTGGGGAAGGGAGGGGGGGGGGGAGAGTTGAAGGATTTTGAGCTGAGGATCACATGGTTTTCAAGAGAACGGGGGGAGGATCAGTTGTTGTAAACAGAGTATAACTGGAGGCTATAGAAAATTGAATGCCAATTAACTGCCACAAAGGTTTGAAAAGAACCCATTTTAGCAAGTTACCATTTCTAGGTTTTGTAGTAAACTTTTACATTACTCTCTAGTTAATACAATTTTCTCTTTTTAGCTAAATGTCCAAATGATGGAAACCTCACCACATATCAAGGAATATTGAAGAGTCCAGGATTTCCAAAATCTTCGTACCAAGCAGACACAGTTTGCATTTGGGTGATAACTGCGCCAAGAGGCGGCAAAGTCAAATTTGCAATATCAACAATGGAGTTGGAGGACTGTTCTTTGTGCCGTTGTGATTACGTTGAAGTCAGGGACGGTGCCACGGCTAATAGTCAACTTATTGGCAGGTTTTGTGACGAAGAGAGAGTAAATCTTTACTCAGAAGGAAGACACATGTGGGTGAAATTTAGATCAGATGTGGCGATGGAATATCAAGGATTCTCTGCCAGCTTTTCTTACTTGAAATTACGAAAAAGTGAGTTTGTGATCACCGGTTCACACAGTCCACAATCCAACAATGTTGTGTAAGCCTAAGATGTAGGCATTTTTAGTGCAGCATGTTTAAATGTATAACAATTATCTGGAAGATGTAATCATCAGAAAAATGCGTGGACATCATTTACTATTCGTAACCGATAAAGCGGCAAATTTGAATGCGACCTCGCTTTCATGAGCCCTAAATTAGAGATGAATTGGCCAAAATTGGCCCACAAGGCTTCGTAGAACCCACTTCGTGGAACCAACTGAGTTTTAGAAAAGCTTACTTGATGATCAAAGACAGTCATTTTCGGAGTGTAGTAATTTAATGCTTTTTTCCGTCTTGTCACAAGAGTGAGACAGTGCAAAAAAAAAAAGTGTCAGTGAGTCCTCATGAGGAATCGAACTTCCGATCATCGGATTCCGCACTCCTTTCTTATTAAAGTTACGTATATGACACTTTCAAAATCGCACACCGTAGCAGCGCAAAAAACTTGGCTTACCACAAAGCTTCTGTGGCTCAGTTATAAAGCATCAGAGCGCGGAATCCGATGAAGACTAAGAATTTTTTCTTTGCCTCACGCTCGAGACGAGACGAAAAACATCCTTTTCTAGTTATAAGCAAAACTGTAACAAAATCACCATCATTCGGGCCCTCGCAACTTGAAAACGTCTTTTCTTTTCCGGTAAAAACATCGGTGACACGTACGCGAACGGCTAATGTATACTGTTCGATTCATCTAACTTTTTGGTATATCTAACTGTAAAGAAACACAGAAAAATCCACTTGTTATCTGTGGGAGCAAATTCTTATGAGTAAGACACAAGCAAATTATACTTGTTGTTTACACGTTTGTATATGATCTCTTTAACTCACATCTCCTCTTCTAATTTTGGTTTCTGCAGAGGAACCTTTCATTCTGCAGGCAAATGGATCATCCCAACTCATAGCTAGTTCAAAAAGTCCAGCTGTTTGTGGCTCTGAGAAAAAATGCATATGGATAATTTCCGCTCGTGAAAGATGTAAAGTTCAAATCTCACTAAAATCATTTGCCTTCCTGAATTGTTTGGGACCATTTGTGGAGATCAGAGACGGCCCTAGCTCTTCTAGTCCATCAATTGGAAGGTTTTGTGGAGATGAGAAGCCTCCGCCAGAAATCTACTCCATAGGAAATAATCTATGGATAACTTTTGAATACAACTCTACCAGAGACTTACAAACGAATGGTTTCCAGCTCTTGTACAAAGAAGTACAATGCACCAATAAACCACAGATAGGATTCTTCACTGAGCCTTTGAATTCTGGTAAGGATTAATCCACTTTGCAATCATCAGCATTAAAATATAAGAAAACTATATAACGCGGAGCTTGACCTGAGACCAAGCGCACCTACCTGGAGACAGTCTATATTTATCACCTGGGGAAGGGGGGGGGGGAGAGTTGGAGGATTTTGAGCTGAGGATCACATGGTTATCAAGGGAACGGGGGGAGGATCAGTTGTTGTAAACAGAATATAACTGGGGGCTATAGAAAATTGAATGCCAATTAACTGCCAACAAAGGTTTGAGGGCAGGGGGGGTCATGAGATTATCACAAGGCCATGAGGAGGGATCGGGTCAATTTTCTCGTGACGCATCTCCAACCCTTCCCCCCCTCCCTAGGTGATAAATTATGACAGGTCCTTTTGGGGTATTGTGGAAATTTTTGAGGATTGCCTCTATGAGATTTTTTTTGGGGGGAAGGGTGCGGAAATTCTATTTCCAACCCTCCCCTGGGAACAGTATCATAAATGAAATTATGACAAAACGTTTTTGAAATATGTTTTTTAACTTAATACCTTTAAAATAAGAAACTGGTGTCAGTTTGGACGTCAATCCCCTTCTTTGAACTTGTGAGCAAGACGAGGCTAATATAGGTGCCCCTACCTCGACGGGAAAATTCGGACACCGCAAATTCAATGTGAAGAGTTTTCATTCCGTCTTTCATAATTCCCTGAACCATCCAATCTGATTTTTCACTTTCCGCAAAACTGAGTGATATCTTAAGACATCATTGTTAGATTTCCGTGGATAAGCACGCGTGTATGTGCTTGTGTGCCCGCAATGCTGCTGATGGATTTGATTAATTAAGTAAATTTACCACACGAAGTTCTTTTGTTCCACATTCATATAAGGCTAACAGTAAGGCAAGTAAAAAACAAAGAAGAGCTGTGCGAGGGAAGACGGGGGTAGGGTGCAATTTAATGACTAGGATAGATTATTTTTCTGCTAAGAATTCTATTTTAATTTTGCAGATCATTGGAAAAGTATGGCCGTTGGAATCGGCTGCACAAGTTTATTTCTTTTTGTTGTTCTCGTGTGGTGTTTTCTGAAGGTAGCAAGCAATTCCAGTCGCTTTGTAGAATTCGAGCGAACAATGTCACTGATTGAGCAGAATCCAACAGAGTCCTCCATTGCGGAAACATGTTTTACTAACGACAGAGATCTGTGATGCACTGACTAAAAATACTTGAGGATCAAAAACTAGCAAAAGAGCCGGTTCTATCCCTCCCGGGATTACAGGGGCTAAATAAAAGCGCTCTGAGCGGCATATAACCACCAACACAGTTGTCAAACGTTTGCACGTGTGCGAAAGTTGTAATGACTAGGGGCCTTACTTTCAGGCTGTTAGAACCAAGTTGTCTCAAACGAGTTACAAACAACTACACAAAAAAGTGAGTCAAGGTGTTTTTCTCATGTTTTCCTTTGAAATTTTGCGCGGGAAATTGGCGTGCAGCCGGTCACAATTGATCCCCTTGCGCATGCCCGACGTTTGACCGCTGTTTTCATGTAACCGCACAGATTCGCACAGCCGTGCAACATATACGTAGAGTTATCCTAAGAAACAAATATAAACCCTCAACAAAGGACATAATTGTACAAAAGTCACATGTTTTCTTAAGACATTTGCCCCATCAGAACATTAAGCATTGAAAATATAAATAGCATGGTACCGCTGACCATCCGAGTGGTAGATTTGTTGCAATAATCTTCTTCACAGCAATATACCTCACAGGTATCATTGCCACGAGCCTTGCATGAAGGAGCCTCGCATGCACTTGCACTAAGACAACCCCGCAGGTAAGTTTCTTGTGTATACTTGGAAGCCTTGATGTATGTCTTAATGCATCTGTCAAACCCAAACTTTCCATCACATTGCACGAGTTTCATGCTCTCGTCGCACTCCTTAAAAGAGACTCGACTTTCGCAGTAGTAGCATCTAATGTCTTCCCACTGATCGTCTGAAGTTCGATTCCTCATGAGGACTTGAGTTGCTCCACATTCGTGACAAGACGAGAAACATATTTATTTTTCATGTAAAATGTCAATTCAACTTCGCGTGCTTTTACGTATTACTATAAATATTATTATTACCCCAAGCCATGCCAGATGGCCACAGTTATTTTAATACGATGGACTGTAGATGTTAATTAGCGGTGACAAGATATGTCTGCATTAACTTGGCAAATAACACTCGGGACTCTTTTTCCCCTTGTTGAAAAAATACCAAAATGGGTTATTTCCAAGGACAGACATGGAGCAAAGGAATATTTCACTGCGTCATACACAGTGACCGAAGGGGATATCATACGAAGCTGAGTTTCTATCAAAATGAAAACAAATTTGATGAACAAATTTCGTCAGTGTCGAGTAAGAAGCCATCCTTCAAAACAATTAATGCGGTTAGAGGTTCAGTGCAATTTTAGACAGACTTTAATAAACCGTCATCCTACTATGGAAGGCTAACCTCACTGAAAAGGTTTTTCACCATCCTGGGATGCAAATGCAAATGAAGATCTAAATTAGTACACATCTTTTAAGATTGGGTTCAATCGTTCAATTTGTATCCCTAGGAGAATTTTGCTGTACTGAACTGAACAAGATCTCTGTGCGTATGCTTCAAAACAAAACCTTCCAATACTTACCATAAGCAAGAACTAGCCTCACACACGACAGAGCTATGCAAAAGAAAGATATATAAAACTGTCCAATTATTTCTGTGACATGTTTCTTCGTGGTGGTTTTGTGTTTTTTCTTATTGGACATTTGTTTCACTAAATTAGAAAGGCCACCCACATTACTTTTTCTAAAGAAAAAATTGATAAGGAAAACAATAAAAAGCTCGCGGAATTCCTCCTACAACGGCAACCTAAGTTTTTATTTCGCGATTAAAAAAATTTCAGTTTTAATTATAAACTAGTCCTCTGCTTTTAAAATCAATTTATTGAGGTTGCCAGTCAAAACAATAGCTCGGGTTACAACTGATATTCATTTGAATATGAAACAACCTCAAGGGTTTACCGAAAGAGCCATCTGCCAAACTATTTTCTACTTTATGCGAATGGAAGATGTTTTTCTCGCCCAAACCTTAATAGACAAATGTATTTATCACTATAAAGTTTAGAAGTAGGAAACAACGAGGAAAAAGAATCAAATTGGTTTCTTTCAGACTGGATAAAAGCTTCTTGGCATTTTTTAATTTAAGACGAGACGAGAAAACTCATTATTTGGTCTCCCAAGCTATTACAGATCCTGCGTCACAATTTGCTGTCATCTCTCTTGCTTTTGTCACTGAAAAAAGTGTTGCATATATTCAGTCTTTTCAGCGCAGAATCGCCGTTAATTTTAACAAATATAAAAAAAGCAAAGCCAAAAAAATTTTCAATCGAAACTGTGAGAGTTCAATTTTTAATTATTTATACAGAATTGTTGTCTTTGGTTTATCACTATTTCCTTAATTAATAACATATTGTTGTGATGACTGCCAATAAAAGAAATTTTTCGCATACGTAAATTTTTCAGCATCGGAAATTAAGTTCAGTTATTCGTCGTAAGAATCTTTCTTTCTTGCAAAATTCAATCGGTTGGAATTCTCCTCTCTTGCAAAAATTTTATGCTTTTTCTATCCAAGGATGGCAAAAACGTGATGGGACTTTGCTTAAATGGAAGGCGAACGTTCATTCAAAAATTACCAATTTTTCGCCCCTTTCTCGATCTGTTTACCTTTTAGTAATTCTTTAAAGCAGATTCTTACCTGATAGAACGACTGAAAGCTGGTACCAAAGATACATTGTCTTCATGTCTCTTCCAAAGATTCGAAGTAAATCCCAGAATGTCGTCCCTTGTGCAAAAAACAATTGATAATGACTTTTGGCGCCTGAAAAATGCTTCCGGCCACGATAAGTTTGATAATGAGGTATTCTGTGCAGAGAGGCCAAATGGTATTATTGATTATTGATCAGTAAGCATGTTTTTGTTCATTGATCGCTTTATACCACGTGTTGATGAAATGACTGGCTAGCAACTCGGAAATTGAGCCGAACAAGTTTTACATCAAGAATACGTATAAATTTCCGTATCTTGCTCGACCACCTGTTTACATTTGGGAGTCAATTCAGCTCTCCTGGCCTCCCTCTCCTCTTCATTCATACGCTTCAGTTTTTCCTTGGCCCTGAGAGGGCATTACCAAAGCAATACATTATAAATATACTCTCACTCGTGTACGTAAGAGAAAATAGACAATAAGATACATGATTTAAGACAGGAATAAAAACAAAGTAAAACAACAAAAAAAAAAAAAACCAAAAAAAAAGTTCGTGAGTTTATCAGCCATTGGTATCGTTCTGATTCACATGTTCATTGGTTGCCATATGGCTCTCTAAGAGTCTCATATGTTTAACCCCCCACCCCATCCCCTCTCATTGGCAGTCAATTTTCTATAGTTCCCCTTTATGCCTTTTTTGGCGACGACTGAGCTACTAGTGATCTTCATATCCTTGTGAATTTCACTGTTGTTCATTCATAATACTCTCGCCTTGAACAGTTTGTTTCTACTTGTTACGTGAAATAACTTGCGTATTTTTGTGAGCCACGATTGGGCCGAATTTCACTGAACATTTCACTTTCAGATTCTGTATTAGAAACTGCAAGAGTGTTAAATTCGACATACCCAACTATTTTAGTTTGTAAACTATTGCAGAATATGATCTTTGATGATTTTTGAATTTTGATGGTTTGACATTTTTGACAGCTTTAGTCTTGTACAGCCCATCAGATTATTTGAACCATTCTAACAGGGATTCTGATTGGCTTATTGTGGCGTGTTTTATGAGAGTATAGAGCATGTTGACGACACTGTTGTTCGCTTTGGAAATAAAATTTGTTTTGAAAATTAAAAGTAATTCTTGGGGAATTTAACGGATTCTTTATTATAAAACAAATAGAGAAGCCTTGACTGTGCTCTGTTCTGTTGTAAAGCACTTAGGAAGCGGCTAGAACACTCAAGTAAGTCCCCCTACACTTCCTTCGTGCTCTAGCCGCTTCCTGTGTGCTTTACAACAGAACAGAGCACAGTCAAGGCTTCTCTATTTGTTAGATAGTCGGAAGGTAAATTGTTAAAGCGCGATTTAATTTGTCTCATCGGCTGTTCGGTATATGCTAATCACTTCCAAACCAGCCAATAAGCGCGCACTATTGACCCGTGTAGGTATATGTTCAAATGGAATATCTTAAAAGTAAAAATATTACCCCTTACAAGAGGGTCTTGATGAGGTAGTGGCTTTTACGGTTTAAGGTTTAATTTAATACTTTTTTTGTCTTGTCACAAGAGTGGGACTGTGAAAAGAAAATTGTCAGTGAGTCCCCGTGAGGAATCGAACTTACGATCTCCGGATTTCGCGTTCCTTTCTTAATGAAAGTTACGTTTATGACGCTTTCAAAATCGCAGACCGCAGCTGCGCACAAAACTTAGCTTACCACAGAGCCTCTGTGGCTCAGTTATAAAGCATCAGAGCGCAGAATCCGATGAAGACTAAGAATGTTTTACTTTGCCCCATGCTCAAGACGAGACGAAGAACATTATTTACTAGTTATAATTTTGTCAACGGTTTCAAGCCCTTCAACAGCCACGTTCAGCCCCGTGCAATACTAAGCAAAACTGTAGCAAAATCCCCATCAAGCGGGCCCTCGCAACTTGAAAACGTCTTTTCTTTTTCGGTAAAATTACCGGTGACACGTTTGCGAACAGTTGATGTGCGCTGTTCGATTCTCCGGACTTTTTGGTGTATTTGTGATCTCTAACTGAACAGACACACAGAAAAATCCGCTTGTTATCTGCGGAAACATATTCTTCTGAGTAAGACACAAGCAAATTGTACTTACTGTTTACACGTTTGTTTATGATCTCTTTAACTCATATCTCCTCATCTAATTTTGTTTTCCGCAGAGGCACCTTTCATTCTGCAGGCAAATGGATCATCCCAACTCATAGCTAGTTCAAAAAGTCCAGCCGTTTGTGGCTCCGAGAAAAAATGCATATGGATAATTTCTGCTCGTGAAAGATGTAAAGTTCAAATCTCACTAAAATCATTTGCCTTCCTGAATTGTTTGGGACCATTTGTGGAGATCAGAGACGGCCCTAGCTCTTCTAGTCCATCAATTGGAAGGTTTTGTGGAGATGAGAAGCCTCCGCCAGAAATCTACTTCAAAGGAAATAATCTATAACGTTTGAATACAACTCTACGAGAGACTTACAAATGAATAGTTTCCAGCTCTTGTACTGAGAAGTACAATGCACCAGTAAACCACAGATAGGATTCTTCACTGAGCCTTTGAATTCTGGTAAGGATTAATCCACTTTGCAATCATCGACATTAAAAGATAAGAAAACTTTATTACGCGGTGCTTGACCTGAGATCAAGCGCACCTACTTAGAGACAGTGAATATTTATCGGGGGGGGGGGGGGGGAGGGAGGGATGAAGGATTTTGAGCTGAGGATCACATGTTTTCTAAGGGAACAGAGGGAGGATCAGTTGCTGTAAACAGATTATAACTGGGGGCTATAAAAATTAAATGCCAATTAACTGCCAACAAAGGTTTGGGGGTAGGAGGGGTCATAAGATTATCACAGGGCCATGAGGGGGGATCGGGTCAATTTTCTCCTGACGTAACCAGAAAGCTCCAGCCCTTCACCCCCTCCCTAGGTAATAAATAATGACAATTCCCTTTGGGGTACTGTGGAAATTTTCTGTGGAGCGCCTCTATAAAATTTTGGGGAGGGGGAGGGGCGCGGAAACTATATCTCCAACCTTCTCTTGGAAACATTATCATAAATGAAATCATGACAAAATGTTTTTGAGATATTTTGTTTACCTTAATACCTTTAAAATAAGAAACTGGTGTCAGTTTGGACGAGTGAACAAGACGAGGTTAATAACGGTGCCTTCCCTTCCGACGGGAAAAGTCGGACACCACAAAGTCAATGTGAGGAGCTTTCGAACCATTCAATCTGATTTTTTCGCTTTTCGCAAAATTAACATCTTAACGCATCTTTCTTAAATTTCCGGGGGTAAGCACGCATGTATGTGCTTGTTTGTCCACAATGCTGCTGATGAGTTTGGTTAATTAAGTAAATTTACTCTTGAAAAACAGATAAATACAAGAAGTTCTTTTGTTCCACATTTATATAAGGTTAGTAGTAAGGCAAGTTAAAAAAAGAAAAAGAGGAGCTGTGCGAGGGAAGACAGGGGTAGGGTGCAATTTAATGACTAGGATAGATTATTTTTCTGCTGAGAACTCTATTTTAATTTTGCAGATCATTGGAAAAGTATGGCCGTTGGAATCGGCTGCACAAGTTTATTTCTTTTTGTTGTTCTCGTGTGGTGTTCTCGTTTCTGAAGGTAGCATGCAATGCCAGTCGCTTTGTAGAATTCGAGCGAACAACGTCACTGATTGAGCAGAATCCAACAGAGTCCTCCATTGCGGAAACATGTTTTTTCTAACGACAGAGATCTGTGATGCACTGACTAAAAATACTTGAGGATCAAAAACTAGCAAAAGAGCCGGTTCTATCCCTCCTGGGACTACAAGGGCTAAATAAAAGCGCTCTGAGCGGCACATAACCACCAACACAGTTGTCAAACGTTTGCGCATGTGCGAAAGTTGTAATGACTAGGTGCCTTACTTTCAGGCTGTTAGAACCAAGTTGTCTCACACGAGTTACAAAAATATAAATACAAAAGAGTGAGTCAAAGTGTTTTAAAAGCGTGTTACTGTTTTGGTAAAGCTCAAAACAAAATGGTAAATCAGGATGTTTGTACTTGAGCTTTCCTTTTTTTCCCACTTTAATTTCCTTTTGCTTATTTCTGTGAACGTTTCAATATATTCTTTCGCTTATTTTGCGAGACAGCGGTTATTTCTTATGTTTTCCTTTGAAATTTTGCGCGGGAAATTGGCGTGCAGCCGGTCACAATTGATCCCCTTGCGCATGCCCGACGTTTGACCGCTGTGTTCATGTAACCGCACAGATAGAGTTATCCTAAGAAACAAATATAAACCCTCAACAAAGGACACAATTGTATAAAAGTAAAATGTTTTCTTCAGTAAAACATTTGCCCTATTAGAACAGCAAGGGCTGAAAGTATGAATACCATGGTACCGCTGACCATCCGAGTGGTAGATTTGTTGCAATAATCTTCCGCACAGCAAGACACTTCACAGGTATCATCGCCACGAGCCTTGCATGAATGAGCCTCGCATGCACTTGCACTAAGACAACCCCGCAGGTAAGTTTCTTGTGTATATTTGGAAGCCTTGATGTATGTCTTAGTGCATCTATCAAACCCAAACTTTCCATCACACTGAACGTGTTTCATGCTCTCATCGCACTCCTTAAAAGAGACTCGACTTTCGCAGTAGTAGCATCTTATGTCTTCCCCTACCGAAAAAAAGGAATCTGAACAATCTGTTTCATGTATTTTACAAGACTCGGAGCGGAGTTGAGGGGTGGGAAATCAAATGGCATTTTTTTTATCTACGTTTTAACAATTTTTTTAAATCTAATTCTATTTATTAAATAGCATATACTCATCGTAAAATGTCAAATCTGCTTTTGTTATATCCCGTTCCCCTCTTGAAAGGCCACCGAACGTATGAGGTTCGATTCCTCATGAGGACTTAAATTGTTCTACATTCGTGACAAGACGAGACACATGTTTATTTTTCATATCGTTGTTATTAAAATGTAAATTCAACTTCGCGTGCTTTTACATATTATTATAAATATTATTATTACCCCAAACCATGCCTGATGGCCAAAGTTATTTTTACGCGATGGACTGTAGATTTTAATTAGCCGTGACAAGATATGTCAACATTAACTTAGCAAATAACACTCGGGACTCCTTTTTCCCTTGTTGAAAAAAAACCAAAATGGGTTATTTCCAACGACAGACATCCAGCAAAGGACCATTTTACTGCGTTATACTCAGTGACCGAAGGAGATACCATACGAAGTTGAATTTCGATCAAATACAAGCAAATTCAATAAACAAAATTCGCCAGTGTTAAGTAAGAAGCGATCCTTCAAAATAATTAATGAGGTTAGAGGTTCAGTGCAATTTTAGACAAACTTTAATAAACAGTCATCCTACTATAGAAGGCTAGCCTCACTGAAAAGGTTTTTCACTGTCCTGAAAGGACTTTCCCATGAAATTAGTGACACATTTAAACTTTTGACATTCATATTTACTTTAATGCTTTTCATGAACTCAAGAAATGGCGACATCGTATACATTACATCACGCTCGCTAGCTACTCAACGAAATTTGAAATAATCTTCGAAACAGGATTCATAACCTGTTATTATTCCTTCGAAGCAAAGTGATAAAGTGACAAAGACAATACTTGGATTACGAAAAGAAAAAGAATTAGAAATTATGTGAAAGCCGAACTGTCCATACATCACCTTTAGACAGTCAGACGGCCCATAACTGCCGATACCCTGTTATGAAAATTCGCGTGAAAACTTTTCGATCGAAGTACAGTACATGACATTAGGAATTACTACCAAGATACTTACCAACAGAAGAAGCAAGAGAACTAGCAGTCACCATCAGCCAAAATATCGAGAGAAATTTCATAGCGGTAGTTTGCCTTCTTGTTGATTTTACTGCATCACAACTGATAAGGCAGCATCGACAGAGCAAGAGGTCAATGAACACACGAACTGTACTTTTGGACTATAATCCTTAACCACCGATGGTACATATGATAAACGCACAAATTCAAGCCTTTTTCGTAAAACAAACGATCAATTGATTCATTTACATAAATTCCTCTGTCGGGATGTAGCCCAAAAGTTACAGTCGTGGAATAACTAGAAGAGTTTATATCACTCACATTCCTTACATTCTATCCTTGATTCATAGGGTAAAGAGCAAAGATAAGAGAGTTCGAAGCTTTGACCTATAGTGTGATAACGTTTTAGCTCTGTATGGTACGGCTAGGAAATATAAAAAGTTTTAACACACTCGTGTTTTTCTTTTGTTTGGCTTATTTGGTCTTTTTGGGATATGAACGTGACCCCGGCTAGGCGGTTTACCCCACCTTGAGACGTTTACATGGCAAATTGTTACCCTACTCAGCAGACTGGCTAACCCGCCCAGGAGGGTTACCCCACCTGTCATGTAAACGTGATCAAGATGAAATAAGAGATTATATGGACAGAATTTAGTTTTAAACGTGATAGACAGCCCCAGGGAGAGGGGGTACTACCTGCATGATGAGCAATGTATGCGTTTGCCACCCCACTCCTGAAGGGCATAGTTTGAACCGTTTTGCCGACGGGCTTAAAACGGGCAAAGGGTTTGATTGTAAAGGGAACCACAAAAATTCGTAAATGTATTTTTAACTTTTAACTGGGAAATTCGCCTAGAACACCCATTATTATTATTACCATCCGAATATACTGCAATATATATTCTACACAGTGAAATAATCTCAATTTTTAGTTCAATAACATGTACCTAATGAATCAGTGGGAGGGCCGAACGGGAAATATTTGGCTCTAGGTCATGATGTATAAACCGAGCACAGCGAGGTCCGTACGTCATGGCCGAGAACCAAATATTTTCCCGTCTTGCCCAACCAGACTCAGACAATAAACATTTTGATATATAACCACTAGGTGTTGAAAATTTTTAATCTGAAATTTGTCTCTGCCTCGATTGCCTACAGCTGAACTGGGAAATGATTTTTTTTGTTAAATTTAAACTTAGAAGAAATAGATTTTCTAATTTATTAAGGTGGCACAAACATTAACAGTGAAAAAGATCATAGCTTCAACGTTTTTCGTTTGTTTCCTCGGTGCAAAGGCCATCAAATATATGTTGGATCAATATCAGTATCTGGGCAACTGCCCACCGACCCCTCCCCTAACCCAACAACAGTCAATTGATAACAAGTTAGGGTTAATGTTGGATTAGGGGAGGGGTAGGTGGGCAGTTGCCCAGATATTGATATTGATCCGATGTGTTATCAGTTTGGTGACCTTTAAGGTGAGCAATCAACACTAGACCATGGTAACACTACTGACAAGCTTTAAAAACCAAATTACTCTCCCCATAGGCATCCAGCGCAGTGAGCAACAGGCCATTGTTAAGGACCTTAAGCAAACCACGGCAAAGACGGCAACGAGGACTTGGCAAAGCTAAGGGTCCAAAGGGCGGCACAATAGCTAAGCACGTGCGTTTTAAAAGTTTGCACATTTTTAGCCGTCCTCTGTAAATCAACACTAGTGAAATCACCAGGATTCGCGCGGTCTGAGCACGAAAACCACGACGGCAAACTATTTGATTCTCCAGTACCAGTTGCAACTCAACGCTGCTTAATTAGGTAAAGCTGAGCGCCGTAAGAGACCTTAAACACACCCAGCCATTCACGAAATCCTAGCTTTAAATATAAACTCATTGTTTCATCGACGTCTTCATTAGCGTTGGCGTCCTGACTGCTTAAGGTCCCTACTACAAGAAAGTGAGGGGAGGGGTGGGTTAAGGATTTTGGTTGTGCTCCCTTTATATTCTCGGTTTGCAGCTGACGTCATACATTCTAATGATCGCCTCATTGGCAGTCAATTTTCTATTGTCCTTTTTTTATACTAGGTAGCGACGACTTTTTCCCCCTGTTTCCCCAGAAAACTATGGAGGCCCCCCAAAAGAATCCTTGATTGACCCCTCCCTCAGGCGAAAAGTAATGACAGCCCCCTATATATCGATCCCAAATATTAACTGTTTTGTTAGCGTGAAAAACGTGTGATTTTTTTTTTTTTTTACATTCATCTAATTAAACACACAAAGTACAAAGTTCACGCTTTTGTTCTCAGTAATCATAATTACAAGCAAACCAAAGAGAAAATTAGAAAATAAATAAAACTCAAATAAAAACATGTCTTGAGGGAGTCTCCGCCTAAGGATAGACAAAAAAAATGTTAGTAATGTTAGTAATGTGATTGAAAAAATTAGCCTACAAGTTCAAATCAGAAATTTTAGAGTTCCCATTCTATACTCTGTTTGTAACGACTCCGACCCCCTTCCCCCCCCCCCCTCCCTCCCCGTGACAAATAATGCCAGGTCCCTAAGCATACCTGACTTGATATACACGGCATAGTAGCTGGCGTTAAACCCTGCCATAGAAACTTCATGATCCCGTATGTAGCCGTCTGACTTGAAGCGCACAAACATTTCTCTTCCGGTCGAAACGATCCCGTTAGGAGTGGCTGAGGAGGCACAATACCGTTTGAGCAGTGGACTGTTTTCATGAAGTCCGTCTCTAATTTCTATAACGTCGGTACAATTCGGGTCAAAGTAGATCGGTGTTGAAAAATTAAATTCCACTCTGGATTTTTCGGGGACATGGATTCTCCAGATGCATTCCATATTGCCGGGATAATCTAGAGCAAACCGCGGGCTCAGAATCAAGCCTTCACGAGCCGTAAAAGTCTCGTTCCATGGACATTTGTCTAGTGAGAGAAATAAGGTGATGTAAGTAAGAATAGCAAATAATTATAAAAAAAATTCAAATTGAGTGTCGAAAGTAATCTAAGTATTTGCCTTGATTTGCTTTACTTTTCCTTACTTTCTCTTTTTTTTTTTTACACCTACAGATGCATATACCAAAATCTCCAATAAAAATCGACCAAAGAAAGCAAAACCGAAGTCCTATAAGACATTCGCTTTGTGTTATTCAAGTCAACTTAACCACAAAGTGAAACAGAGGCGTCTCAGCAGAAGTTGTGAATGTGTATAGTGCCCTACTCGAACTCGTGGAGAGGACTTGCTAACAAGCTAAATTTAATTTGTATGTAGAACTCATTCTAAGAAGGAATTATTGACTTTCATGCGAGAGTGAATCTCTTCGCTTCGGAGTTAGGCCTCGTCCATCTTTCGGAGGGAGGCTGAGCAGTGGGAATTTAACTTGGATCACAAGAAGCTTTCCTATTGAACCTGCAGTGTTTTTTCCCCCTGAAATGGGACCGCAAATTGCTGTAAAAGTCCTTAAAGCCACAATCACAGAGTTATCATTTGCAGTTCCAAAGATAACATACCTTTCAGTGGTGTGATGGCTTCAAACTTTGCACGAAATCCCTTGTTATTTGAGAGCTTGTTACTCACAAAACGCAGCCACATATCACTTCCGTTAACATAGATGGGAGACGGAGGGTCACTACCACAGAACTTCCCAAGAAGCATTCCTCCGGCAGTCGTTCCGGCACGGACCTCAAGGAAGTCGCAATCGCAAGTTTTATTGCACGAATGTATGTGGAAGTCAGTTCGGTTAAACGACAACAGCACGTGATAACCACGTGGCACTGATATTATCCAGGAGCAGTCATGCTCAACTTCATAATTATTTGGAAAATTTGGACTTTGTATCGTACCAGACTTGCCACTCAGTTTCTTGTTTGTTGGACAAGGTCCTGGGAAGAAGGGTCCACACATCGGTTATGAATAAAGAACTGAGTTCAGATTTTTTCTATATCATCCTCCACCTACCTAAGGACTGTGTTCATTTTGCGTTTTGATAAACATGAGTGAAAAAAATTTTCTTTAAGGAAAGATGTTTTTGTGTCATGAGGAGGAACAAAGGAAATTAATTGAGTCTACACGAGGAATATAACCCGGGCCCCGAGCCTCAGACTTTCGGATTCCGTGCTCTGATGCTCAAACACCGAGCCACAGGGAACTCCATAGGGGTCTGATTCCCGATCAGCATTCAAAATTTATTTTTTATTCTCCTACGCTCCAGACGCAAAACATCTATTTTTATTTCAATAATTTATGTACAAATTTACCATCATTCTTAATTTAGAAAGTTTTTTTTTGCTATATGTAAGCTATTGTAGTTGGTGTTAAATTATCATAACCGAGGTCAAGAAAGAGAGAAGTAGCCGATAACTGGTACTTTGGCTGTTTCAGACACTGAGTATGACAACCACATTCTCTTCCTTTCAAAAGCTTAAACTATTTTATGACTGGTAATTACGTAGCATTTAGTCCCGCAAAGATAGTTCAAAGCTGCCTTCCTTTTTTAACATTTTACATTAGCAAATTTCGCTCAACAAAGCCGTTTGTACACTTACAATAATGATTTGGCGACCGGGTGCTTATTTGACTTTGGATATCACTAGGGAGGTCGCTTGCCGAAACAAGAAGCTTATATTTCTTAATTAGTTGAAAAACAGCAGAATTTACGAAACAAAGCTTTGATGTGTAATTTACTCAAAAAGAAAAAAAAAACCAGAAACTGTAAAAATGACAGGAAAAATTGATAGACAGTGAATATTGGCATGATGATGGTAGGGAATACACTCTCGCTAGCAGTGCTATCACTGAAGCAGAGTAGGGGTACTTATTGAAATAGGGGCGCTTACTGGAGTTAGGGTGCTTGCCCAAAGCGGTGCTAATCAACAAAAACCAATTCCAGTGTGTGCTTGTCAGAGAGGGGGCGCTTTTGCAAACGAGGGCACTAATATACATTAAATATATGATAGAATATGTTATCATTACGAAAATATCATATGAAAACTTATCTTTTGATTCCTTTCTAAAGTTCATCTGCCGATGTTTCATGAAATTAGCTTTTCACGTACCTGCGTCGATTCCCACAACATCATATACGGCAATGAAATCAAGATAATTTTTCTGCATGGGAAGAGTTGCTTCGACCATCATATGCCGACCACTTGTGAACAATGCTCTGCTTAGCTTGGGACAAGAGAATCTTTCCAGAACATTCGAGGAACCAGATAAGCCGTCAAAGACAACGATTTCACTGTTTGAACAGGATTCAAAACTACTAACATTGTAGAACAGCAGTGTGAATTTTAAACGATGATTGAAAAGCGCCGAGATGCGCCACGAACATCGACTGATGTGACTTGAATTTTCGAGGCGAGGACTTGCAATCACACCCCACTCAGCGCTTATGGAGATATCTGTGTTTGAACTTGTACATTCTGAAAGTTATAATTGCATGGTAAGTTCTGCAATAGTAGCTCTGTACTAAACACGTAGAAATTTCGCAAAGTATTGGCCAACGTGATCGTGAATAGGTTGGAAGTGGAGAAACCTGCAAATGTTTGAATTAACGCCCTATAGGGCGTGTTCTGTTCGATAAAAATTTCCGGTTTTAATTTCCAAAATTTTCGCGTGTCGATTGAAAAGTTATTTTATACGTGGTAATTTAGTGTTAACAACTGGGTTGAAAACGTAAATTAGCCACCGTAAAGGGTAAAAAAGCTGACGTTTCGAGCGTTAGCCCTTCGTCAGAGCGATTGACGAAGGGCTAACGCTCGAAACGTCAGCTTTTTTACCCTTTACGGTGGCTAATTTACGTTTTCAACCCAGTTGTTAACACTAAATTACCTGCTATACTCTCCCACCGACGCAGCACCACAGTTTCTTTAGAAACTTACCCCTTTATTTTATACCTGACCGAATTGATCTCGATTTGGAGTGTTTTCGAAATCCTTCCCTTTTGTTCTGTTATGAATTATCGTTGGTTGACTCTGTGGAGCCACGTGTAGCTTATACGTGCAGAAAGGACATTTAAAATTTGTATTTTAAAAAACGAAATTGTAAGTACTGCACATGTACCACACATGGACCGCACATGGACCGCATACGTACCTCACATGTACTGCACGTGCATCCCATATACTACACGGCACACCAACAACATTCACGTCCTATTCAAGGCTTCAAAAAGACACCCTCTGCCCTAAAATGGAGTTTTTATCGTGCAACTAGGAAGACCACTGTTGTTTACTGCACGGATTGTCTGGACTAAATAACTGGCTTACCTTGGCTTTTGTGATAAATTACTTTTGTAGAATCAGGACAAGCTCCGACAAACACAGCACCTGACCGAATCCTGGGATCTTTTTTGAGATAGCGCTCTATGATATTTACTTTGACGTTTTTACTTGGGTATTTTTTCCAGTGGAACAGCACAGATGCGCTGTAAACACAGCCATCGAATTTGTTGCTGGAAATTCCTCCAAGGACAATCTTATCTGGCTTACTAAAAGTGCCAATTGTGATTCCTGTCCCGTTCGTTTGTACTTCTTGACCATCATCCACACTATACTTGATTGTTTTTTTGTATCGTTCAAATCGTACGATATGTCTTTGACCATCACAGAAGGATTTGTTTGCAGGAACTATCGCCGATACGCTAAAATCTTCATCTCCAAGCTTGTAATGGAAGGTGGTCTTAACTTCATTGTCCAAGACAATTTTGAAAAAGTTATCAGTGTCCATGCTTGTCACCAGTATCAAATCACCCTTGCAACTTGTTGATGAAAATTCAAGTCTGAAGGTAATCCCCAGGAAAGATGAGGTTTTGTTGAAATGGTACGCTATGAAACTCGTCCTCGCTCTGAAAGTTACTCCTGTGATAGAGGCATCTGGTTTTTTTTTTAAACACGAATAACGAAATCTATATTCTATACTGCACGATAATTATTAATGGAAATCTAATATGCGTCGGTCAGCTCCCTCGTAATTCCCTCTTTTCACTGACATCAAAATTAATTGCCTGGAGGAGGGGGAGGTTTTTACCTGATCCATCCCTAAGACTCTGTAGTATTCCAATGATCCCCCTTTATTGGCAGTCAATTTGCAACAGTCTCCCCCCCCTTTATAGCGACGGCCGATCCCCAGTCTGTTCCCCCGGTCTGTTCCCCGGTCTGTTCCCCTTGAAAACCATGCGATCCCCTTTTTTTCTTCCGCCCCCCCCCCCACACCTCTCAGCCCCATCCCTTGTGGTAAATATTCACGAAAGAAGCATCAACCACCCATCGAAAATGAAAAAAAGGAAAAAAAATTGGCCGAGTCCCCTTCCGTCTCAATGAAAGTAAAGCGAGCATGAAATTAATTTTTTTTAAAAAATGACTCCTGGAAAGAGAGCCTTCCGAGTGGGTCCATTAGTCTGTTACAACAGTCCGCCTGTCCTTCCAACCAGTAGTCCATAAATTATAGAAACAGTTATTTTTCTAAGCATGTTTGAAGAGTGAAAATGAAGAGCCGTCCCTTGGAAACAGGTGCCTGGCTTTATTCAAATTTTGCCAATTTTACAATAGGACCACCAAAGCTGTTAAATTTGGCAATTTGCGCCTCCAACACAAATAGAGATCTAAATTAGCCCACATCTTTTAAGATTGGGTTCATTCGTTCAATTTGTATCCTTAGGAGAATTTTGCCGTACTGAACTGAACAAGATCTCTGTGCATATGTTTCAAAACAAAACCTTCCAATACTTACCATTAGCAAGAACTAGCCTCACACACGACAGTGCTATGCAAAAGAAAGATAAATAAAAGCGTTCAATAATTTTATTGCATGTTTCTTTGTCGTGGCTTTGTGTTTTTTCTTATTGGACATTTGTTTCACTAAATTAGAAAGGCCACCCACGTCACTTTTTCTAAAGAAAAAATGGATAAGGAAAACAATAAAAAGCTCGCGGAATTCCTCCCACAACAGCAACCTCAGTTTTTATTTCGCGGTTGAAAAAATTTCAGTTTTAATTATAAACTAGGCCTCTGCTTTTAAAATCAATTTATTGAGGTTACCAGTCAAAACAATAGGTCGAGTTAAAACTGATGGTCATTTGAATACAAAAAACCGAAAGAGTTTACCGAAAGAGTCATCCACCGAATTATTTTCTAATTTATGCGACGGGAAGATGGTTTTTTTCTCCCCCAAACCTTGATAGACAAATTTATTTATCATTACAGAGTTCAGGAAGAGGGAACATCGAGGAAAAAGAATCAAATTGGTTCTTTCAGATTTGATAAAAGCTTCGTGGCATTTTTTAATTTAATACGAGACGAGAAAACTCATTATTTGGTCCCCCAAGCTATTACAGTTCCTGCGCCACAATTTGCTGTGATCTCTATTGCTTTTGTTATTGATAACGTCTATTGGAAATTTGAATTTTTGAAAGAAGTGTGGCATATATTCAGTCTTTTTAGCGCAGAATCGCCGTTTATTTTAACAAATATAACAAAAGCAAAGCTAAAATCGAAACTGTGAGAGTTCAATTTTTAATTATTTATACAGAATTGTTTCCTTAATAACATATTGTTGTGATGACAGCGAAGAAAAGAAATTTTTCGCATACGTAAATTTTTCAGCATCAGAAATTAAGTTTCAGTTACTCGTCGTAAGAATCTTTCTTTCTTGCAAAATTTAATCGGTTGGAATTCTCCTCTCTTCCGAAATTTTTTATGCTTTTTCTATCCAAGGATGGCAAAAACGTAATGTGACTTTGCATAGATGGAAGGCGAACGTTCATTCAAAAATTACCGATTTTTCGTCGCTGTCTCGAGCTGTTTACCTTTTAGTAATACTTTAAATCAGATACTTACCTGAAAGAACGACTGAAAGCTGGTACCAAAGATACATTGTCTTCATATCTCTTCCTAAGATTCGAAGTAAATCCTAGATTGCCGTCCCTCGTGCAAAGAACAACTGATAATGACTTTTGGCGCCTGAAAAATGCTCCCAGCCACGATAAGTTTGATAATGAGGCATTCTGTGCAGAGAGGCCAAATGGTATTATTAATTATTGATCAGTGGGTATGTTTTTGTAAATTGATCGCTTTGTACCGCGTGTTGATGAAATGACTGACCAGCAACTCGGAAATAGAGCCGAACAAGTTTTACATCAAGAATAATATAAATTTCCGTATCTTGCTCGACCACCTGTGTACATTTGTGAATCAATTCAGCTCTCCTTGCTTCCCTCTCCTCTTCATATATACGCTTCAGTTTTTCCTTGGCCATAATGAGGCATTACAAAAGTAATAAATTATAAATATATTCTCAGCGTGCTTTTGTCGACTCGTGTACGTAAGAGAAAATAGACAAATAGATACATGATTTAAGACAGGACTAAAAACAAAGAGAAAAAAATAACAAAAAAACAGGAGGAACGAAAAAAAAGTTCGTGAGTCTATCAGCTCTCTAATAGTCTCACATGTTTCTGTCAATATACTAAAAGAAATTAGTCGGAAATTAAATTGTTAACGCACAATTTAATTTGTCTCATCGGCTGTTCGGAGGTGAATAGTACATGCTAATCACTCCCAAACCAGCGGACAGCACGCACTATTCACCCATGTGGTATATGGTAAAATGAAATATCTTAAAAGTACGAATATTACCCTTTACATGAGGGTATTAATGAGGTGATGGCTTTTACCGCTTTCGGTTCAAATTTGTGCCATTTTAGAGCCAACGGTTGATATCATTTCATCAATGTCACCAAAAATATTTTTTACCCTTTTTACGACTATCGGTTAAAATTTGCCAATGATTACGCTTAACGGCTACCTTTTTTAGCCGTTTTACAGCTGTCTGTGAACCCCATTAAGACTCTCTTGCAAATGAAAGAAGATAAGCAAACAGGAAAACATTTATTCGGTGTGTAGCCAGACATATTAAAAATTTTTGGTAAAAAGAATAAAAAAAGTTGACACTGGCTAAAAAGATATTGTTCTGGACGTTTGGGCAAAGACGTTTGCCTTCTTCAGCAAAGATAAAAATGCAAATGTCTAATGGCGTCCTGCCGTATTCAAGAAGCTTTGGGGAAATGACACGAAATAGAGGGAGATTAGATAGTCTTTTGTTTTAGATCAATACTAGAATAGAGACTTGTTGAAACAATTCTTTTCCACACAAATTTTGACCTTCCCCAAGTTTAAACATCAGACGCAAAAGAAATATATTTTTTAAATTACCCCTTTATTGACTCTATTAAAAATGAGGAACCGTACTATACACTACTGATAAACTATTAACAGCACAATGCCTACGATCACCTGATTACGGGACGTTACTTACAATAAACGATATCAAGAAAAAATATAATAATGGCCTTCACTTTCTTTACAATACAGAAATTACCAAATAATGCTAATGATAATAATTTTACAGTACGTGATTTGGAATAGTCCTATAGTGTATAAGTTACGTGGGAGGAGCAGCAGACTAACTGTCAATTCAATAAACTACAAGTCGAGAGATCTGGGTACGAGACTTGGCCAGGTAAATGTGTTGTGTTCTTGAGCAAGACAACACTCTCACCATGCCTCTCTCTACCTAGGAATAAAAATGGTTACCGGCGAATTTTCAGGGAAGCCTGATGAAATACTGGGGGGGGGGACCTTGCGATGGACTGGCGACCCATCCAGGGGGGAGTAATACTCATGGTTGCCTCATGCTAAATGAAGACCAGGATAAGCTTCGAACGGGTGGGTCAAGAGTGCAAACTTCACCTTTTTACTCCATAATTTGACGTATACAAAAGGAATTCTGCTTGCTATTCTCTCTCTGCTTTAGCTGTAACGCTACTTATTAAAAATCTTTTATTAGCAATCGCCAATTCACTAACTAATAATGGTACATACACTTATAAATTACAGTAATAACATTGCTAACCTGACTTAAAATGTAAACAAGATCTAGATCTGAGGATAACTTTTAAAAATAGTGCCTTTTAATGAAGGACTCAAACTTTATGGCTTCTGGGGCATACTTTTTCTTTAACTCTTTGGCCGTTAAGAGTGACTAGCATCTAATTTCTCCTTACAATATCTCGCCTGAATCACACATTAAGGTCATGATAATAAAGGAAATAATCTCCCATTTAAGAAGCTCTTGATTTTTTATCCAATTTGTCACGCATCCTTCCTGGGTTGATGGAGTATTTATGTTATGTTAATACTTTCCAGCTCTATGTAGTATTTCTTTGGTGTGATATGGTTCTAAATGTTGTTGTGATTTATTCAATAAGAGACTCATTGATGTCGTTAGATAAAGTAGATTCTACAATGGAATCTGTTGGATTCAGCTCAGTTTGTGACGTTGTTTGCTCTAACCCAGCAAAGCGGCGACTGCTTGCTATCTTTAGGAAGCACGCTACTAATATCACAAAGAGGAAGAAACTCGTACAGGCGATTCCAACTGCCATACTTCTCCAGTGATCTGCAAAAGCCACAAGTGAGGGAATGATGAAAACTGAAAGATTAATTATTTGATTTTGCCTCGCCATGTTTCTCCTGCGATGGACTAGCGTCCCTCCCAGATAGACACCAGAAACTGCGGTTCACTCGACCTATACGATTTAACTATGCTCATCATCCAGGCCCCCGGTTGTCGGAAGGGTGGATAATGACATCCACTGGATAAATCTCTATCCAGTGAACAGCGCATTACGTTTTGTTAACTCTTCTCCGCTGGATAGCGGATAAGAGTTAACAAAAGGAGAAGGAGCAGGCGCAGGAGGTTCAAAACGAGATGGTAACTGTGAACAGTAAAGCCTCAAGATCTTCATTTAAGAATGTCAAACACATTCTAGAATCGAAGAATCAGGTCCATATCTACAAGCACTACAAATTTAAGAGGGGTTACGGGTCATATGTATATGTGAGATGAAAATGACTCAAAATTGTTACAGGCATGTGTACGATTGCATTTTGTTTTGTTTTCTCTAATTACATCATTTTCTAAAATTAGCTTTTCGAATAAATCTTTTCGCATTCTATAACAAATGCTGTAATCTGATTGGCTACGCTACTCGCTGGCGATCTATTCCGTAATATATAGCTTGTCACCGCGTGATTATACAAAAAAATGAAACAAATTACATTCCTCTCTTTTTTAAAAGACCAGTAGATTTACACTTAAAGGAAAAAAATGTGTATTCGCTCTCGAATTTGATGCTTTCATCAATTATCACGCGATAGAAATACATAGCTTAAAATCTAATTTTCAATCATTCCTTCTTTCATCACGAAACAAATACAGTATATGTTTGTGACTTACCAGAGTTGATGGCCGGTTCGTCGTAAAACTTTCTTTGTGGCGTAATGTTAGCCCGTGTTGCTCTGTACATCAGCTCAAATCGATTCATTTCCAAATCTCTGGTAGAATTGTACTTAAATGATATCCACAAACTATTTCCCAAAGAGCAGATCTCAAGTGGAGGCTTCTCATTTCCACAGAATTTTCCAATCATTGGACTTGAACAAGTGGGACCGTCTTTGATCTCAATAAAAGATCCAAGACAAGAGAGGAAGACAAATGATTCCGTTGTGAGCTGCACTTGAAAACCTTCAGGAGCGGTAATTACCCACGTACATTGTCTATCGGAACCACACACGGTTGGATTCTTTGAACTAGTGATGAATTGAGACGTTCTATTTGCTTTCAGAATAACTGGTTTCTCTAAATGCATGGGAAGAAAACAAGAAAAAAACTGATACTTGGAGACTCGACGAAAAGGAAACATAAGGGACCCTACGTTATTTACCGCTGTGAGGGAGGGGGGGAAGGGGGGGAGGGGGGAGAGGGAGAGTCGGAGGATGTTGATTGCCAACAGGTATCGCGAAAACTTTAAAGCTCTTAAATATTCTTATGATTCCCTACTCATTAGCAGTTCATCGGCTGTCAATTTTCCGTAATCTTCATTATATATTCTGTTTGCGCCGACCCCCGTTTACCCTGAAAATCATGTGTGCCCCCCAAAAAATTATCCGCCCTCCCTTTCCAGGAGACAAATATTGACACAAGGAACCAATTTCAGAAAAAAAAACTCCTCTCTCGACAACACGCATGTTAAATCACATCTCCAAAGACAAAGCTACCATAATTTTTCAACAGACTTGAAGTCTATCGAATTTATAAATACTCGTTACTCAACTTACTCTTTCTTAATTTAATGAAAGTGTAATTCGCGAGGAATCCTCGTCCCTCATTCTCTCTGTCTGATTTGAATTTGACCCACATGTGCCGTCCTTCGGAATAAACAGTGCTCGCCTTAGCTTCACAATATCTGCCAATAAGAGGGCCACTGGCTTTTGCTCCATCTCTGAGTTCAACATAGTCACAACTGCACATAGCGCAGTACTCAAGGTCAACGGAATTGATCATGAGCTTCACTTTCCAGTGTTGTGGGGCAGTTATCACCCAGATGCAAACGGTGCTGTTGGGATAGTGTGTTTCACTGTAGCCTGGACTCATTAAAATCCCCTCAGAAGCTGTTAAGTTTCGTCCACCGGGACAGGTAACTGATGGATATAAGAACAAGGACTCGCTATCATTCAAGGTACATGTATGTTTATACCTCAATTTGAACGTAAAAACGCAGAAATTGCTTTTGATAGCGCGTGCATTGTTAGCTAAGGCAACTTCAGATCGAAATCACCTAACGCATCAATTAACACACAAGTTAATCCGAGCGTGAAAAACTTTCCTTGTTGACCTTCATAAAAACACACCAACAAACAATAATAACGCAAGGCTTGGTATTGGGTTCCTTGCGTGACGTTCCAAATGAAGGTCCAAGATTGCGTATCCAAGAGCCATTAGTCATCTTTTAAACAACGGATCTTTTTAGAATTACAGAGCACAAGTGGGGCAAAGAACCTCACTTAGACCTCTCGCTAATTGTTAGTGTTGTTCTGAATATCGCTGGTCATTATGGTGGTCATTGTGAGAACCAAGGAAAGTTGCAGTAAAAAATTGCATGCTTATTTCTACCGTATAGCTTACTTACCAGTTCCATTTCCGTAAAGAGTATTACTTGCCAGTATGCCTATGAAAAAGGATTAAACTTAGATATCACATCTTTTTTTTTCATTTAGATCAGCCATAACGGTGTAAATGAAGGAGTGGTGAAGAATAGCGAGTGAATGTTTATTGCATTTATCAAACGACTAATATTCGACATGAACATCAGCAATGTCCTACACGATTTGCAAGACAAAAATATCAGTAGTGCTTGTATGTATTCAGAAAAAACAACACAAAGCATTGGTATATAAAATTAATGAATTGGATTTTTGCGAAATTGCTTCGAACTGCCACGAAATTTCATCTTCAAGGAAAGCTCTTTTCCAAAGTTATTTGACAAATATCAAGCAATTATCTAAAACAACCATCGTTAGCGACTTAAAACTGGTTGACATGGTTTTTATAAGATTGCAGTTAAGAATACGTTATCCTTGAAAGAGCATAGAGCATCTAGTGATAAATGCAATAAAAACTGGTTAAAATCGGCTATCTGCATGTAAGCTAGATAATTATCGTTGTTGTGACTAACTCAAAACCCATGTGAAACATCTTCTCGGGGGATAGGTGCCACAAAAAAGTAAGGTGGACCGAACAATCTAAATAGATTTTTTGACGTTGCAATTCGTTGAGCCGCTATCAAGCTATTAAGGAAAAGGAAAAAAATAGCAGCAAAACAACAAACACGAAACTTAAGTATAGACATTAGGGGTATTGAATAAGTCATATTCGTTTCCTTGGTAACCTGAAACAATATCGATCACAAAATGTTCAACGGTCAATAAAAAGCGCATTTATCGCGTCAAATGGCTGATGGTCGCACTGAAAATCCAAATCTATAAAAGCTCAAGTAGGGGACACTGTTACCAGACAAGGAAAAAAAAGGAAAGTAAAGAAAAAATTACAAGGTAATGATACAGGAAAACGTTATTGGAGTAGTGATGAGCTAATTATGGTCTCTGTTGCGGCACGGCAAAGATCCCTTCAAGACGAGTGTATTTCACTATTATTCCGGATTTGGATAAAACTTAAAAATAGCTATATAGTTCAATGTATTGGATCATTTGTTTTCCACAGGAGACTAAATGTCCACAATTTGCGTGTTGACTTAAAAGTGAACTAAATTGGTACTAAATAGGCTTATGTAGAACAGGAAGCCTTGGATACTACAACACTAGACCCAAAATAGCCCGACAATTTGTCTACCCGGAGTGTGAATTGAGAACTATTTTCAAAAGGCCATATATCATTAAAGACAACAAAAAACCTGATATTCAATGCTAGAAAGTATAGCCTTTAGAAACGCACGCTTTGGGATCCTATTAAAAAGTCGATTTATGATTCACTACGATTACTTGCAATTTCACGCTTAAATTTTTGGAAGAACCCCTTGAATTACAACGCTCTACACAAATCATTCTAAAACTAATATTTTGGCCATTTGTGACTTTTATATGATGAACAAGGGTAAGTGGCTTCGGGTAAAAGTTTAAATATACCTAAGAACTACCTTTTTCTAGAGGTGCATCATATGACGTCAATAAGCACTTTGAAACACTTCATTTATTTAAGAACCCTCGCGATAGGTAAAATCATTTTTCTGGTTATTTTTTTCTGTTCATTTTTTAAAGCTCATCCAGAACCCTTCCGTCAAAGATAAGATATTTCACTTGGCAAAATGTTTGTCCGTTGAGCGGTGTTTTGCTTGCAATTGTGTAGTCAATTCATTTCTTGTTGGTGAACAATCAGCGTGAATCGGTAATGACTGGATTTGTTTGTAGCTTCAACTCCTTAGCTTATTTGGGCATGAATCTACAATAACAACAGACTGGTTTTGCCACTGGAAGCACAACTTTTCAATTGATTAAAACAGAGCAAATGTCGCATGAATAATTAAAATGCCGTTATGTGATTCATAAACGTTTATGGTGCCATCATCGGAACCATATAGTTTAACGGCAAACCGACGTTTCTAGAAATCTCAGAAGCATAAACAATCAACTTGAGTTTACTCACCAATCCAAACCAACAAAAGCTCTCTTAGGTGAGTGAAATGATTCATTTTCCGTCGTTCCCCCCTCGCACGTCCGCTGGGATTAAGAACGTGATTTTTTACCATTTAGTTCGGCAGTGCACGATTCGTTTCTTTGTGGGGAACGCCGCCTAAGCATTATCCAATGCACGCCAGCAGATATGTCTAGCCAATAACAAAGGAAATTCCAGCTGCTTGTCTTCGTCCTTTGGCGCTCCGTTTGTCTAAGTTTTTGGAGCACTTCACTTACAACTGGGCGTACAGTTAAATTTCAACTCGATATGTTTCGCACGGCGAAGGAGAAGCCAACATCGTAAATTAAAGATTCCGAACAGTTTATTCCCCTTGGCCTTCCTTCCCTAACATGTAAACAACCATCGGATTCAATATCGTTTTGGTATATTGTAAGCTTGTTTTGTTATCGATAATAACTAAAATGTGAAACAGTATCCGTCTTGAGTGATGAAAAGTCCACCAATATTGCTCTGAACAATTCTAACATGTATTCCTGCTCAGATAAATACGCCCTTGGCGGCCGTTTCAATTCTATTTTCTCCTATCAAGCTGACGTTAAGAACTTAATTCAAACGTTAAAGCTTTTTTTTATTCAATGCCATTTCCTGTTCATTGTACGTGCTGTCTGTGTGCGGTTCCATTAATATCAACATATTGCTTCTGGTTAACCTCAAATACTTGGCACTCTTTGGACTCCTTATACAATTCGATGCACAGAAATACGTTAGAGATGGCAATGTCACATCAGAACACTTCGCTTTTTATTGAATTATGTTAGCATACATCTCTAGAAATCTGGGCATTTGCACTGACTATTTTCACTGCTGTGATTAACTGCGAGATAATCTCTGCTTTTAGCACACGATTAAATTAATCCCTTTCTATTTTTTTCCGCATCTATAACACCCGGCTGGGACTTCTACCTCCAGAGGCGACGCAACGATTTGTTGATAACTCTTTTTCCTTAAACTTAACTTCAAAAGCAAGCGAAATTTTATTTCCAGGTTCTTTGAACCCGCAGTTATAACTTTGGATCCGTAGTTACAACTTTGAAGCAACTGTTATGACTTAAAAACGGATATCCATTTTTTTTCGCAATTAAAATAGTATGTTCAGAACTCCGTAGGCCATGACAACATGGCCTACACTCATGACGTTCCAGCTCACCAACAATTCTAAGTCTTTATTTATATTAGGTACCAGATACCCTCAATTAAACTATTTAATTATAATGTTTTTAAATCCTTTTTTTAAAAAAAAATTGGTACGGTTTCGAGTACAACAGAGTGTAGTAATTTTAATTACTCTCTTTAAAAAGAGCTCGACTCAAATCAGATCGCGCGCTTCTCAAGGTTACCAGTTCCTTTGTTTTTATATAGTTCGTGCTTTGGTCAGAATTGCTACGGTTAGAGAGCAGCACCAATCTGAACTGAAGTATGTGACGAAATTAATTAGCGGCCAGGTTGCTAAGCAGTATAGACTGCTTAAAAAAAAAAAGGCGCGGGCGCAAAGCAGATATTGTGTTCACCAGCTCACGCACTAGCTAAAAACGCGTACAAATTTTTAAGTGATCAACGAAACGAAGAATCTTATAAAAGAAAGATCTGGGACAGATCCTCTTCATTTTGAGCAGAAGTTTCTTTTATCGCAAGTTCTTATTCAAAAGAGTTCCTATCCATTTAAGTTAATGAAATATACGAACTATAAAATTTAAGGCCTCAGTACCTAGTCTTTCTAATGATATCAACATGCCCGTTCTTAAAGCTTTCGACCCATGTTCATTCCTCTCCAACTGCGTTGATAATTTATCGAAAATGTATCCTTGAACAAATGACAATGTCCGGTGGATATGGACCGAAATAAAACGTTTGACAAAGTAATCGATTATAGAATTTTTTTTTTTTTTAACTATTTACCTCCGGCATGGACTTCTCACTAAGCGATACTTTTGAACTAAAGTAATTGATTTTTACTTGTACGAATTAAACAGCTGTGTGCAATCAAACTGCTATTCATTTTTAAACGTTTTCTGTGTAATTTAAAATTTTGATCTGCAACTATCACCATCTAAAATGCAGTTAGATGATTTCCTGAGGAAATAATATTTCACCTTAACGACTTTAAGCCTCCCTAAAATGTTCTAAATTAGTCAAAGGGGTAAAAGACTGAATAAAAATCGTTTTATCTTTTTAAGTTTTAAGCGCATGCAATTAATATTTCAGATGCTTCTTTGGAAAACCCTACTCCTGCATGGCAACTTGAGAACCAATAATTAATTTACAAAGAACATTCTATCTTTGGAAGATGCACTTCTGTCCATTTTTCTCAGCATGAAGTCGCTATATCTGAAATGCAGTGTATTAGCTGCTTGAAATTTTTCTGAAGTCTTGCTATTTGCCTTCGGGAATGATGGCTCGTTTGATATCTCCGTGGCTTCCTTAGTCTTCGGAGAAATTTTATCAAAATCGTTGTCTGTTTTTTTCAACTTTATCAGTGGAAGTTTCATAGTATCGCTTACAAACATGTCCGCGAATTTTTCGTGTTTCCTCTTGGAAGGCTTCGCATAAGGATCTCTACAAATTAGCGGCGTGTATTTGTGGACATCAATGTCGGGTAGTTTGAGGCGACCGTTCGTTTTGTTGTACATGTCGTAGTTGTATGGTACCTCGTGCACCGTTTCCAAATTGTCAGCGAAGCAAACTTTAGCTTTGTGAAAATCCTTTTTCCTCCATGAATGGGAACGCTGTAGACGAGATCTCGGATTCATCGTGCTATCTTGAAAAGAACAATTAAATGTTTCTCGCAATGTCATGATACCGTCATTTTCTCTGCAAGTTTGTTGTCAGTTAAGCTCTGCCAAGCAACCAAGTCTGCATCCATAGATTCGATTTCTTTTTTCGAAGAGAGCATCTGAAAAACACCATCACAACATTATGTTCAATCCATGTCTATTTGAGATCAGTGCTGCTTCCTCCAAAATTTCTGTACCCTGATATTTGAAAAATACTAACAGCGCAACAAGAGGTTGTTTATAATGTCTTCAGCTCTCTTTGTCACTATCACCTTGAACAATAGAGTCAGCGGAGATCCATTCACACTTTCAGAAATCAAAGTACTCCTCAAGAAACGCAATTGTTTATATCGTCTTCACGAAATGAATTGTAAAATAAGCCCCCTTGGGCGAGGAGCCTTGTAGCAAATGCCCTTAAAAATTCTGAAACATAAATTCGGAACGGAAGTAAAGTAGTTTCAATTTTTTTTTCAAAAGAAATCACTACAATTTCAGAGACCTTCTACTAAGCCGAGTGCTTGATAAGCGACAATGAGGAGCAAATGTAAGCATTGTACGATACAAAATGCAAATAATTTTCTACCAAAAAATGATTATCAAGTTGTGCTATTGTCAAAGAACAAAACACGCAGCACCAGAGCTCTAAAACGGAAGCCTTTTAATCCTAGTGACAATAAAGTAATTCAAAATGTCCTTGACTAGTTATTCGTAAAAGTTAGCGTTATGTAAACAACAAGCTCACTTTTGAAGAATTCATCAAATTTGAAACAGCGATAGCAACCAGTTACCTTTTTGAAGTGAACAGCAGAAAGAGAAGTAATTGGTTGGTTTTGTTCCGATTTAATGTGTTGTCTGGGATAAAAAAGTTACAGCACGTATACATGAAAGGAAAGCTGTTCTTGTATGCGAGAAACCACGAATTAACGCCGGACGTACCAGTAGCTTATTTTGAAATGGAGCCAAATCTTATTCCTTCCTGTTTTAACTTAATTTAATTGCAAAAAATCCATGAATATGTTATTTAGCTGCTTAAACAGATTCAAAAGGCTAGTTATGTTTTAATGAAGCTGTTCTGCGCTGTTGCGCTTGAGATAAAACATTATCATGCTAATCCAAACGCCGCCATATTTCTTTCCACAGTCAGAAGAGAAATCAAATATTTGACTGTATTTTTGCAATTAAATTCATCGTACAATTGCTGCACGACAGGATCTTGTTGATTCACCGTAAATACATGGATTGTGGCGTTGCTCTTTTTATACAACCTGATCCTGTTCAGTCTCAGAGTTTTTATCACGTATATGGTTTGTATCCGGGGTAATATTCTACCGTGTAGTCTGATCATCAGGGTACGGGTAGTCTTGAGAAGGACTGTTGTTGGTTGTGAGAATTAAAGGAATTCAGTGGGTAGAAAATCAATTCGAGAGGGTAAATGCGTCATCGCGATTTGCACCTCGTTTGCAAGAGTTCACACCTTCCCACCATCAGAGTAAAGAAAGCAATTTGAACGAAACGAGCAAATCTTCGCTTATGTTTAGGAATAAAGCAACAATTCCACAGGCGATGATCGACAACGTAGCGGTGATGATAACGTAAATCGTTCGCTGTGCTAACGAAGAATGCTCGATTGACTTATCACCCACAAACAAACATCATGCTTTGAGCGTTACGTCGGTCGCGCGTCTTACTTTGTACAACAACATTGATGGATACCCGGGAGCCGACATACTTTAAAAAAGTAACATTCCTTCGCCCGGCTACCAAGCGCTGTCTACCAGCTATCGACGGAGCGTCGGGTGAGTGACGACAGAATATCAAAAAACCATTAGGTATTATATCAAACTTTCTTAATTCTGCACAATTTCGTTTTCAGAAGTACCCGGAAGCGTGCAAATTTACCGTAATTAGCTCCTGTCGGGCCAACATATGATCATCAATTATTGAACAAAAACTTCAGTTTTACTGTACAGTAGATATCTAGTGAAAACTGGGAAAGAGCTACAAAAAAAATAGGATAGATAATTTTGGACAATCAGTGATTGTTCAAAACTACTTATCCCTTTCTCCGAGTCTTTTCTTTTTTGTACAAAATCTGTCGACCTTCGCGAAACAGAGTGCGAAGCTCTTTCCGGCTAATCGCCGAAATTAGATTTTGCCAATACAAAGAACGAAACTCTGTTAAATGATAAAAGTTTCACTTTCTAAGCGACACAAAAACATTTGGCAAACCCCTTGACTAAATTTGCATACTTTCATGTGCTTCGTTCATTTAGTTTCGATCATTTTTTGTCAATACTTATTTACACCGTATGGTTTAAATGTTTAGGAAGCTGCTGAGGGGAAAACATTGTGATGGCTTATCTTATTCTACGTGTGGAGACATTCTTCTTTTCCTTGTTATTTGCCTGTGCAGGTAACCTTTACATACGAAACTTTTTAACCGGAGTTGATATTGCTACTTTGAAGTATTTATTCCATATTACAGATTTTTGATTTTGTTCAGTCCATATTTCACTAAAAAACGCTCAGACTGAGTCTTCCTAAGTATGACGAAAAGTTAAGAATCGAGGTTTACATTCTTACCTGTCTGTTCATGTCTATGTTTTCATCACTAGATGTTTCGGTAGGATATCATTCTTTGTTTAGAATAGAATTTTAGTACTTGAGAAGGTTCGAAAACTCATATCTCGAAAGTGACACACCGAATTAATCTGCATTCGAGATTATCCGTTTTAATTTGGCCAAAGTCTCAAACTTGCGATGAACAGTTTAGAGTGTAATATCTCCTTTTAAACTCAGAGTCAAAATTTTTCCTAGAGGAAAGGCCTTTCATTTCCTCTGTTTATATCGTGATGTTATGGCCCAAAACTTTGGAGTACGAAATAACGCAGTTCACCGGTTTGCACGAATGATTGCAGTTGTTTTATTTTTCGTTAAGATTTCTTCATTACCAAAATTAATTTGAAAGGTACTGTAATGAAAGAAATTCAGTTTCTATTAAAACTAAAATTCTCTGCGGAGAACTGGATTGTATCATGAAACTCGTAAAAATGAATTAATCAGTACAGTTAGAGAGGTACTAACGACTCAGACGTCCATCGATTATCCGCTAATTCCAGTCTTACATTAGATTAACAAAATTTCAAGTAACAACATTTGTCCTTCGATAAATCATTTAAATTTGATTTTAAGGGAGGCTATTTCTGTTAGGATCGTGTCATCCCAAGCAAATGTGTCGCCAGTTTTTGAAAAAAAAATTGAAATGCATAGAAAAATACCCGCTCGGTCTCGTAAACCAAATTAAAAAATTGACTGGTTTCTAATTCACAGATTCTCAAGCTCTGTATACGAACCTCCAAACTGTTTACGTCTCTACGTTGGGACACGACTTTGTCAACTGTGGTTCTTACGACGAACCATGCCGATCGGTGAAGTCAGCCGTTCTTAGGGTGACATGGGGCGGAAGGATACTTTTAAATGGGACTGGAACCGAAAAGCATCCGTACGATTGTGGGAACAGTAACACCACTCTCTACATAAACAAAAGGGTAACAATAGAAGGCGTGTATTTCAAGCCTCGTGTATCCTGTCATCACGGCATTAATTTCCAGGTTCACCCTAGCAAAGGGCAGTCATCGGGAATATTGCTATCAGGAATAATCTTTAGTCGAACAGCTTTGACGTTCAACGACAGCTTGAACGCGAAGATCATCGACTGTTTGTTTGAAAACGCCTTGACTGCGCTGACGATTCAAATTCAGGACAGTGCGGCTTTTGAGTTAGATATTCGATACTCGAAATTCCTTCACAACGAGGTATTGTGTATTAAGCTCTCGTTGTTAACTCCAGGTACAAACGGAACTTCCCAAGTCTTCTTGAGAATTTTCGACACGCATTTTATGGGAAATGGGTTACGAAACAGAAGGCTGACTGAGAGTGGAATAATCAAAATAACATCCAAGGCGGAAGTAAATATCACGTCCGCCCGGATCATTACCTCCATCCAGAATGTAACATGTTCAGAGAACTATGGTTATTTCATGAATCTAAATGCTTCATCAGCCGTGACGGAAGAAACTTTTACAGACATTCGCTTGCACCATAACATCCAATCACTTTCGCAGAAAGTGGCAAGGAAATTTGATGTGGATAGTCTTTATTATTCAGTTACTAGAGAAACTCTTGTAAGGTTCATTAACTTACAGTGCATCCAAAACTTTGACTTACGATGTATAGCGATTCATTCCCAGAAAGCTGACGTGGAAATTCGGAATTCAAAACTCGTTGGGCAGTCTGCCAACGAGTCTTATCTGAACAAAGGAGCTGGTTTGTTTTTGGTGGCCAACATTACAGCACTATTAAACGTTTCAAATACCAATTTCACTTCAAATAAAGCAGTCATGGGTGGTTGTGTGTTTGCCAATGCTCCAGATGGAACTTTAACTGCGAAATTCACCAACGTCAAATTCGAACATTGTAATGGCATTAAGACTGGTTGTGCGCTTGCAGTTGGAGAGCCCCCTTTACAACACCAATATTACGGATCATGTCCGTCCAAGATGCATTTGACAATCACTAATGCAAATATTGTTGCTTGTCAAGGAAAGTTCCACAAATGTATAATTGTCTTCTTATGTTTAAAAAGTGGTGTGATTACGATAGAGGGGTCCCAATGGATGAACAACTTGAAAAAGACAAGCAGCTCTTTGCATATAAGAGCAAACAATGGAAATGGTGAGATGGCCTTATCTGTTTCGAGGTCTTCCTTTAAGAACAATGAAGGAAGCTCAATTTCGATGGCAGCGCCGAATTCAAATGGAGGAAACGTAACCATTGTGGACACTTTGATTGCTAACAATGTGAAGCGACAAAAAACAGGCTTGTCAATTAGTCCTAAATACCTACTTAAACTTGTGAACGTGTCAATAGTGCAAGCTCATTATGGACTGAAAATGATCTCACGAGCTGATCCTTGGCGAGAAGTCTACCCAGTCGATATCGCTGTCTATAATTGCACTTTTAAAGATAATATCTATGATATGCTATTCAGTCTGCTTGACCCCCGATCAGTTCGTCTCATGATTCGGAACACAGTCTTTACCAGCAAAGAGACGTGGAAAAGAAGCTATGCCATACGCTTTCACATTCCACCCTTGACAAAGCTGAATACTTCTCAGGCGGTTATAGGCCTGGACAACAATACTTTTGAGTTTAGGCCATCCACTAACTTTGCACTTTTCTTCCGTGGTAATAAAACGCTGTGGATAAGACAGTCCACCTTTAGAAACTGTGTCTGCCTCTATCGCGAAAAGTGGACAGTGCTAAGGAGCGGTTTATCTGACTCCTATTTCTATGAGACAGCTACTGGCGCATTATCAATTATCACAACCCCTGATACACCATCAAAATCCGGTTGTGTTCATCGGAATACCAGAGACGATACTCACCCATTGTGGACGTATGACAGTGACGTGGTAATTGAGAATACCATATTTCAAGATAATACGGGTATCATAGCTGGTGCAGTATCAATCAATAACGGAAACATCACGTTTCAAAATTGTGTCTTCCGAGACAATTTTGGTATTGAACAAGCAGGTCATGTTTATTCTGCATATGGAACGGGTCAAGTCCTTTTTAAAGACTGCTTCTTCGTCAGAACAAAAGAAGGTTTGAAACTGAGAAATGGCACGTTCTCTAAAGCAACACTCTTGTATTCTGAAAGTGGAGGGCCAATGAGATTTCAGAACACATCCATGACTTCATTTGTTTCTGCGTGGAGTCCATATCCAGTGCTTCATATTTCTAGCGGAGGATACTTTTCTATGGACCACAATACAACCATTCAGTGCAACAAAGGAGGTCAGCTCTGGCTTGAAAATACCACTCATTTTTCTTCAGCTGAAAACATGAAGAATTTTTGCAAACTTAATGTTACCAGCCTAAAATTTACGTGTTGGACCTGTGCCGCTGGTTATTACAGCCTCCGAGGAGGGCGTTCACGTGGTTTAGATGTAGTAGACAAGATTACGTGTTACAAATGTCCATTTGGGGCCACTTGCCAAACTGGAATCATAACTGCAGAAGAAAATTTCTGGGGATATCAAAGCACCAAAAGACCGCCAGAGCTCGCGTTTATTCCTTGCCCCGACAGTTATTGTCGAAGTCCAGCTACCGGTTCTTCGGAATATAACGAATGCGTTGGAAACAGAACAAGCATTTTATGCGGCACCTGTGCTCCAGGATATAGTGAGACTCTTCTTTCTACCGATTGTCTGGCCAATGAAAAGTGCAGTAACAGCGTGTATTGGTTGATTATAATACTGGCCACAACTAGCCTGGCTACATATCTTTTAATCAAACCACCAATTTTCAAATTTCTCAAAAAGCAAATATTATGGTTTTGGGATCAGGAACATGGGATAGTAAAGGAAGATTTAGGTGACGTCTGTGAGCACCTGGACAGCGGTCATCTTAAAATTGTCTTTTATTTCTATCAAGCTGCCGAGGTACTGACTGTTAGTTCTACCGACGACTTGCTCCATAAAATATGTTTTATGTCTGTGATCATAGCAGGTTTCAATTTTCAATTTCGCATATTTAAGGAAAAAGCGGGATGTCCTTTCGTTGGCCTTACAGCAGTGACCAAGGAGTTGATGCTGTCTGGAACAGTTTTTGCCACCATGGCAGAAGTTTTTATCATCTACTGGTTGCATTTTGGTTTCAACATTTTACGACGTAAGGCAGTCCCTTCTCCTCAACGATACATAGCGACAATTATAGAGATAATGCTGCTTGGATACGAACGGTTAGCAGAAACATCTTTGAAGCTTCTGCGATGCGTTCCTATAGGTTCCGAAAATCGTCTTTACCTCGACGGAAGTATTACATGTTGGCAATGGTGGCAATATGCACTACTGGCATACGTTATAGTATTCGTGGTCCCTTTCTTCTTTGTTCTTTACTTTGGTTCTTTTAAACTTTATCGGGGACTGGTTTCGACCGGCGAGTTCCTGGGAGCATGCATTATGCCACTGCCTTTCCTGATATACTGGCTCATAAGACACAAAATGAGGCCGAACACCGATCCATCACTAGTAAGAGGGAAGCCTGAGAACGAACCTGTGTTGGAAGTACTACAAGGACCATTCCGCCCGCCAAACGATGACGATAGTGGAACTTTATACTGGGAGAGTGTTTTGATTGGCCGCCGTTTAATCCTCCTTGCTTGCCGTGCGTTTATTGAAGATGCAATGTTGTGCTCAGTCCTTATGGCTGCTCTTTGTAATGTCAACCTCTTCCACCATCTGCGCAAGAACCCTTACCACAGCACCATCACTAACAGCACCGAAACAGTGTCCCTTTTTGCATTGGTTATTATTTCGCTAATAAACATTCCAAAGGCGACTCTTATCTCGTTTAGCACAAGCCGTCACGGGCCGAGCATACGGTATTTACAAGCCATGGAATGGATTGAGATCTGTGCTCTGCTTTTTTTCCCATTGTGGTTTTGCCTGTGTGTAGCTCTCGCCATCATTTCTCAGCTCTTTCGTTTTATTGCACCTATAGCCATACAAATATATCGTTACCTAAGGCGATGTCATACAACGACCTGGAGTACAATAGATATGAGAGAGCCACTTATGGGTACCTCTTATCTGGACTCCGACAATGATTCGTAACTGTGTGTATAGCTCTTCGCGCTAACAACCGCTTAGTGCAGTGGAAACAATGAACTTATCTAAACTGTGAGGGAAAATACCGCACGTGTCGTTCTGTTTACAACATCGCTTTCGATAACTGTGAAGCAAACACGTTTTTCACCAATTTTCCCATTTAAAACTCTATGCTCGGAATTGTTTTTAAAATAAGACAACAGAGGACTTTATCCTCTCTTGGATATGACGAGTTAATTGTTGAAGCAACAGGTTTTTAGACCCGAAACAAGACATTTTTTGAGTTTTATTCAGGAGGAAGATCAAAAAATAAAATCATCGAGTTGATTAACATCTTTTTCTAATCAAAATTAATTCCTCTTTTGATAATATCATTTACTTATGAATTCAACGATCAAAAATTTCGGTTAAAATTTTAACCTGTCCTTCTTTTGAGGGACCAGTCATTGCTTATCGTTAAGGGGAGAGGGGTCGGAGGATTTTGGTTTTGTCATAGTAAAATTTACCTGATCCTCCCGTAAGCTCTGTAGTATTCTTATGACCCCGACCCCCACCCCCCCCCATTGGCAGTTGATGACCTGAAGTCCTCTTAAAAATTCTGTTGGAGACGACTGATCCCCCCTCCGCCCCCCCTAAAAACCATATGATCCTCAAAATCTGCCCCCTCCCCCCCCTTCATAGACAGTAACTGATCCTTAAGCTCACCGAAAAAAAAAACGATGCATGGAAATTGATTTCGGTTTTCAAGTTTTTGTATTGACTGATAAAATGGACAAAAACCACTACATTTTTCAAGGTAGTTTGACTTGCCGGTATGGTAACTTCCAAAAGGTTTTGTCTACCAGAGTCCACAACCGGGCCTGTCCGGGAGTCGAACCCGGGACCTCTCGCACCCTAAGCGAGAATCATGCCACTAGACCAACAGGCCGGTCTTAACAACCTGTGTAGAAAAGGGTATTTTTATTATTGATATACTAAAAACGGGTGTATTGATACCTGCGTGCCATAACTTTGTCATGGATAGACTGGCGTTCATGGTCTTTCGATCAGCGTCACATTTCGGATCATTTTTCAAGTCTGATTGAGCACTTGTTTAACTTGGGAGCGTATCCTCAGGTACAGCCATAAGAGGAGGGTACACTAAGACTCTAAAACAAGTTGTCACTGAGTCTAACAAAGAATCAAAGAAGTTGAGACAATCATGGAATCACCACGATGGTCATTCGGACCCATTCGGTACAAGAACTTCACCTCACAGTTAGGCCAGAGTTGGAATGTAGCCTCGGACTGAAGACTTAAGAGTTTTTTAAGAGTTTGATTTCTTAAAAGTAAAGAATTAGCCACTGTTATCAAAAGTCACCAGACCATGATGGAGTATGGTCGCATCTTTACGCTTCTCGTTGCATCATTTGATTTTTCTGTTTCTACAACATGACCTGAACAATACCATGACTACTGCCTCACTATATTCACGGGGCAAATATGTGGAAAGTGAAGATTTCTGTAATGAATAAACGGGAGGAGAGAACAAACATCTGAAATGTGTTACATTCTTTGTTGAAATAAAAGTAAAGCATTTATTAGGACTCTCTTGCTTCAAAGTTTTTCGAAAAATCTGTTTCTGGCAGGGCTCGAACAGCGTGTGAGGCGAACGTGATAACCACTACACTACAGAAACCCGTTATATATATATAATAGTTGTGCTAAACACTTGAATCTATTTTAGTATGGCCTGTAGAGTATCGTTATCAGATTTAACGCAACTAAATTCGGAAAAAAACGAAAATAACCCCCTTGGGAGATCTTTTAGATTTGCCTGCGTTTAAATGAAGGGATGTTATTAACAACCGAGAAATTGAATTAAGGTAATGTTCCAAGTTTGGTACTCTTAACAGAAAAAAAAAATCAGAAGTAATGGGAGCTCCCCTCGAAAAAAAAATTAGTGGTTAAGGGCTTGTGAGGAACCAGAAAAGGAAAACAACATGAGAGATATCTTTTGTGGTATTGCCGTCCGTCACAAAGCTATCCAGGGGAAGTTTGACTTGCCGGTTTGTTAATTCGGAATGTACTTAGTCCGGTTTGTGTACACTGATTGGTCAGTTTTGCCGTGATGTTTTCGGCTGTAAGACTCAAGTGGCGTAGGTCAGTCGTGATTGGTCGGTTTGGATCCGTTAGTGAAGTTGCGTCGTTCTGTTCGGTTCGTTTGTAATGTTAATGTAGTGGATGACTCGTTTGTATGGTGCCGGTAGTGGTTGACACCTGTTGAGGGGAGTCTGTTCCAAGTTAGTAAACCAGCTTTCCAATAACATCACGGCAAAACTGACCAATCAGTGTACACAAACTGGACTAAGTACATTCGACTGACAACAACCTTTCACCTGACTCTGATGATGACTTCCGCTCAGGTTGTCGAAACGTCAGTCACCATTACTGACAACAGTCCTTCTCAGGACTACACCCACCCGGACGATCAAACTACACTGTTACATGTTACCCCCGGGTCCAAACGATTTACTCGAAAAATATGGTTTAACGCCAAAAGGGTATGGGTCTCCCCGGCGGGGAATCGAACCCCGGTCTCCCGCGTGACAGGCGGGGATACTCACCACTATACTACCGAGGATGTCACACTATATTGTTAACAGGCGGATTTATTAATATTTCATACATCTTTGATCCTTTCTGTTGCCAAGACTTACCTAACTAAAGAGGATGCCCTCTGTAGGAATTGAATCAATGTAAGATTTCTTCTTAGCCTGCGCACTGATTTCCTTAATTCTGTCTCAGTCCAAGTTTGTTGTCTGGAATCAGATAATTCCCTCATTATTACATACACCAAACACGCGGAAGATCACAGGTTCATCTCTAAGTTTTGTCCTCTTTATGTAGGAGGCAATTCACGCATAAGAGTGTATTGTTACTCGAAGTTCGTTTAAACATAAGTAATGCTTACACTCATAATGGTATAACAAAAAATATAGCCATTTTGATTATTGCTCAGAGGTCTGTCCACTGACAGATTTACAGATTTTGGCTCACAATTATGCTGCACCAAAACCAGAGTAGAAGAGCGCACACAGCGGTCAAACATCTGTGCATGGACAACGTACCATTGTCTCGTGCTTTTGGGCTGTCACAACAATGTTGTCCAACAGGAAATATAAGCAACCACGCAGGCCACTAAGTCTCTATGTTTCAAAAGCGTAGAACTTTATAAGATAGCTAAAGCTAAAAACAAAATATACGAAAACATGGATTATATTTGGTAATCTGCTGAGAGATATCCTACGTTGAAGCAAAGCGTAAGAAAAAATGAGCCACGCGTTGCGACATAATAAGCCTTTATAAAAGGAGGACAAAAGGTGACTACAAAAAGTATTCACTATGTTTCTGGCAGGGCTCGAACCTGCGACCTTCCACGGATGTGATAACCACTACACTACAGAAACCACCCTGCTACAATTCGCCCTCACATGGCACATATTATCTCTAGCCCCTGAAATGCAGAGACTTAATTTCGACATGTTTGATGTTAAAACAACAGTTGGCGTCAAAACTGGACCCCGCCGCTGCATTTTAACTTGTTGTCCTTTTCCCACAACGTTAGGATAGTAAAATCTGCTCATTGGGGTCATTCCTGAAACACAAAAACGAAAAAAAGTGCAGAGATACGCATTTAACCAAAAACCACAACCCGGAATACAGCCTTTCTGATCCCCCCCTCCGCCCCTCCCCCCCCTAAAAACCATATGATCCTCAAATATTCTCTGATCAGTAGGATCATTTTTCAAGTCTGATTGAGCACTTGTTTCACTTGGGGGCATATCCTCAGGCATAAGAGGGGTCAGGAGTCCATTACCTGGAGCCTTCAACTGCTCTATATTTTTCTCACGGCGTTTTCACAGACAAGTCTATTTTTAGTTTGAATTTACCGCGAACTAAGACTCCCCACGAGAGCACATCGACTAATCAAGACTAGCGCCTGGTTAATTTCTAACTTTACTCGTTAATGTATCAAAAGAAAAACAGCAGAGAGAGAGAGAAGGCTTCTTGCGATAGTTCGAGTGCAGATTCACACGAACAAAGGCGTCCCAAGCTCACGTCTCGATAAAAAGCAAACGATTAATTCATGTAAGCGTTACATGTTGTGTGACTCGGTGTTAACTTACGGAGAAACCGTTGATAATTTGAACATGCTATAAGGAGTAGCATGGGGAAAGAAATATGGTCGATTTAGAACGATAAATATTTCAAAATATGAACATTTTACACGTTAAATCAATAGAATTTACTCACATCTTTTGTATCCGTTGTGGTTTCCGGCGTTCTATACCGTTTTAAGCTTGCTTTACCGACTTTTTTAAGAGTTTCTTTAAGAGCCTTAAGAGTTTAATTTCTTTAAAAAAAAGAATTAGCCATTGTTATCAAAAGTCACCAAACCATGATGGAGTATGGTCGTATCATATATATGTTAACGCTTCTTGTTCCATTATTTCATTTTTCTATTTTTACAACCTGACCTGAAAAATAGTATGACTACTGCCTCACCATATTCATGGGGGCAAATTTGTGGAAAGTGAAGATTTATATAATAAATAAACAGAAGGGAAGAACAAACATCTGAAATGTGTTACATTCTTGGTCGAGGTAAAACTAAAGCATTTATTCTCTTGCTTCAAAGTTTTTCTAAAAGTATGTTTTTGGCAGGGCTCGAACCTGCGACCTTCCGCGTGTGAGGCGGACGTGATAACCACTACACTACAGAAACCTGTTCCATATAATATATTTTTTTAGTGTTTAAAAACACTTGAATCTAATTTAATATGGCCTGTAGAGTATCGTTATCAAGTTAATGCAACTAAATTCGGAAAAAAGCAAAATAACCGCCCTTCGGAATTCTTTTAGATTTGCCTGCGTTTAAATCAAGGGATGTTATTAACAACCGAGAAACTGAATTT